GACCGACCATTTCTTGGAATTTATAGCTCAGTCACACCGACCATTTCTTGACATTGTATACACCTCAGTCAAACCGCCGCGCCGAACCGACTCCACACCGACTACAGACCGATCATTTTTTGGCATTCATAGCTAAGTTACATCGCCAAACCGACTCCACACCGACTACGGAACGACCATTTGTTTCCATTTATAACTCAGTCATACCGCCAAACGCAATCCACACCGACTCTACACCGACTTTACACCGACTTTAAACCGATTATTGGCCATTCGAGGGAATGTAATGCTTTGATCGGTCTGTTGTTGAACATGTGGCGATCTCGTTAGTTAGACTGAGTCATTACGTCCTCATGTTGAACGTAGGCGTGCGTGGTAGCGAACCTAGGAAAAATGGAGCTCCCCCCCCCCCCCCCTCCGGAAGAATTAAATATACTAATCATTCGTGTAACTGTCACCTCATAAAAGGGTAACAAGGTTTCCGAATGTGTGTTTTTTTTTTAAATAGACTTCTGTACTTTTGAGAAGGAAATAACATGTTCACTATATTAAGGTCTAAACCCAAAAACGTTTTATTGCCCTTTAAGTGCCAGCACCTGGGTCGGTCAGCCTTTTTTTTGGGGGGGGGGGGGTGGGTTGCTTTTTTTTTTCTTCTTTTTTCTTTCCATCTTTGGGCTTAATATTTTTCTCAGATTTGAATGTTTTTGAACACATGCATTTCAGCGATATCATTCCATTCATTTCACTCATCTTTTCACCTCGTAATAAACCATGTTCCACGTTGCTATGTTAAGACAACACTCTGTGTTCCCCAGCTGATAAAGTTGGTTTTCAACTACCTGTTAAACTTGGTAGCAATGTGAAGATGGTTGACAGATTCAGAACCAGGAACGTTGCCCAAATCTCGCTGGTTTCTAGCTAGTGCAGTGCATGGTATATACACGTACACGAGGCCGGGGTCTACTTAATGACGATATCAGGATTTCGAAAGTAGGGCAGAAAACGAGTGAGAATTTGGGAATAATTTGATTACTTTCAGTATTTATATTCTTTTTAAACAAACAAAAGTACTTTTCTTTTTAATTCATTAAACTTTTTTTTCTTCTAAAAAATGGTTTGAATTTTTAAAATAAAAAGCCGACCGTAGACTTTAAAACTTTGGGGTCGGTCACAAAGGGCAATACAACAATTTTGTTAAAGCCGGATTAAGTGTCTTAACTTTTGGTAGCTTTCTTCGCTTGCTTCTAAACCGGGAAAAGGAGTCAATCCCCTGACAAAATTATGTCCTTTTGTCTGCAAAATCAAGTCTGACTGTGTCATAAATGATGATTCTGTGACTTGCGATATCATTTCTATGTGTTATAGTGTTTCCTCCCACGCCCAACCTTGCCCGTAAATCGGGGACAGTATACGCCGCAAAATTGACGTCAGATTTATTTCGGCTGACATCGTGAATTGTTGTTAATAGCACCATGTAGGTCTGCTAATCTAAACTTGAAGTGTCATGACCCAAATTTGCCTGTTGTTTGTATTCGAGTAGTAATGAATCATTGCATAGTATATAGGCCTCTATTGATTAAAAGTACTCTTTCCAGCAACAACAAAAAACGGTATTTCTTTTTCGAAATGAGCACGTCCAAGCGAGGCGAAGGGGGGGGGGGGGGTTACATGTCTGAAAAGTTTGTAACAAACCAAAAATAAAATACGAAAGAAAGAAAATGAACATAACAAAAAGCAAGGTGACAAGGACAGAGAGAAAGAGAAAGAGAGAGAGAGAGAGAGAGAGAGAGAGAGAGAGAGAAAGTGAAGAAAGGTTCTTAAAAACTCGCCAGAATTTGAGGCGCCCTTTTATTTCAGTACAGTCTCTAAAGAGCAAATTAATATGATCATTCAAAAAGTTCATAACATTTCCAGGATCCATTTGCAGTCTTATTTGCTGCCGGAAGAAAGATCAATAATATCAAGGGCATATTTTTTGTTGACGTAATATTTAGTTTAGCTAAACCAGTCTGAGTTTTTATCGCAAGGCACATACCCCGCCCCCCCTTCCCAACACACGACCACTCCCCCGGATCTGCCATTAGCGGGTATATCCCTGGAGATTGGGCAGTAGAAATAGGACGAACTAAGGGGCTATGCCGTGGCTTCTTCGCTTCCGTGGGTTTTATGACACTCATGGGGAACTTTGAATGATGGTCTGTCATGAAACGAAAAATGAAAGAAAAAAAAAAACGGTAGAGGGCAATTAGAAAGGAAGCATATGAGAAAATAAAGCGAGCAGAAAAATATAAGAAATGAAACATTACTGAAAAAGACAAATAGCAATAGTTGAAGCTGGCATTGCGAGGAGGGATGATGGAGAGATAGAAGTATACAGTCGCTTAAATCGTATGTGTGTGTATGTGTGCGCGTTAAAAAAGCGTGTGTGTGTATGTGTGTAATTCGGTTTATACAGACGTGTATCAATCAGATAAGATTATTTACATCTGGGGACCGACCTTCAACGTCAGCATCCGAAAGACGTGACTCAGTTTCGAACCGGGGTCGCCTTAGCGAGTTTGTAGGCGAAGGCAGAGAGCTAGTTTTCATTTATCAAATTAATTGCAATATTTACCCACATGTATAGAAGCAACGTGAAGAGAAAATCAATGTAAATGAGGTCTTACATATACGGCTCTGCGACAGTGTCTTCTATATTTGTTTTATTTTAATAGTACCAAAACAAATATCCTTGCACGATGTTGTGATTTGAGGAGAAGCCAAGGTATCAAAAATGGAAATATTTCCGGCACTTGGAAAGGAAACCATATATTTTGAGAAATATATACTCTTAATTTTTCTCATCGTTTCGAAAAAGAAGGAATATTCATTTCGTTAAATAAGAGTCGTATTTGACCACACATTTCACGGTTTATACATTTCCATGTGCCTTTTGGGAGCTAAATTCGTGGTCGAGTGGTTTAAGGCGCTTGACTTGGAGATGCGAAGGTCGAGGGTTCGAATCCCGACACGGCACTAATATCCTTTGGCAAGATATTAACCTGCACTTGCTACTCTCCACCCAGGGGTTAAATGGGTACCCGGTAGGATGCGACCGTCATTGTTGGTTAAACAGTTTTTGAGCGTCATGTAACGCCTGGCTGGAATGCTCCCCAGGGAGGGGAGATTGTGCACACATTGTGTGCAGGAAAGCACTGAATCCAATGACCGGGGTTATAGTATATTTGTAAAGCGCTTAGAGACATTTGTATTAAGCGCTATATAAAAATTAAATGTTATTATTATTATTAAATTAGCTACAAATAGGGGGTTCGTTGTTGATAAACTTGATGTTTACAGTGTCAGATTAGGGGGCGCCAAATCCGTCGATGTGAAAATCGTCAAAGAAACGCCATCAATACGTCATCACGAAATATGATCAAAGTAACTGTTAGTGTTTTTATGTCATTCTCAGAAGACTTCAATGCTGTATATTCAAAAACTTTTTATTCATGCTCACTTAGAGTAGCGGTATATTGTGCATTTATTCATATATACCATCTTACCAAAACGGTTTCCGACAAAGTGGCGTTTTGTTTTGTAATTGATAATTTCCTCGGCCGCAACAAATCGTCTCGGGGACCGCAGTTTTTCAGAGGATTTGTAACGATTTCCTTCAAATTATTTTAAATTGCGATATAATAAGAAATAGATAAAATACGGGAAAAGAAAAAAACAGAACGGTTGAATGATTAATACTGTTATATTTAGATAAATATAAATTTCAAAAGATTACCGTTAAATCGTCTAAATATACCTTTAAAATAGCATTCAGTGGTAATTATGGTTTCCTATGAAATTATATGATACACAAGTCTATCATTCTTTTTCATTTTGCGCAGTTTTGCGGTCCTGGCTAATGGGAAAGAAATTACAAATGTACGCCGAATAATCCCATTTTTTGTACCCCTTAATCTTTAAATACCCTCGCAATATTCAAGTGGAAAAGCACCCTTTCCCAAGTACCCCCCCCCCTTCCCCGTCTGATACTTGAGTACCTCCTAAATGGCTTGGCCCAGGCTAGACCAAAGCAACAATTGTTGATCATGTAGATGTAAGAGAAAAGTACGTTTTGAAATACATACAAGTGTTGACGTCACCATTGTACTGTCCTATTAAAATTCGTAAGTACACATAACATTTGCAGTATACTCATGTCAATAAGAAGGCGTAAACAATGTCCATTTCAGTTTCGGCCAACAAATCAGGTACTTACCTTTCTTCTTTTTTAAGTAAAAGTTGTCTAATTGTTCAACAACCCTCGCACATATCATGTCCTTTGTTTGTTTGTTGTAGATTTAGTTACAACTTATAAACATCAACTTTAAAAAAATCACCCACGGCCAGTGTTGTTTTGGTAAAGATTTCTTAAAGAGTGGGCAGAACTATTATATACATTTGCGAGAACTCCCTGTGTGAGTAAAGATAAACAAGATAATTGTGTTGTGTTTTTGAAACAGAATAGAAAAAAGATACGGAAATCTGTTATTTTCCCTGCGCAAAAAAAAAAAAAAATCCATAATAATAACTGGGCGTTACCCCCACCCTAATGATATCACTGACCTTTTATCTACGTCTTTCTCTAACTTCGACTTTCAAAATGGTAAAGGCTACTTAAGCCTCTATGAATTACGTCGTTGGACAAGCAGTGATTAAACAATGATACATCAAGATGAAGCATATGATTAAGAGATGAGAATCGCAAGCTAACTCCAAACCTTAAATATTTAAAAGCTTTACTTGGTGACCAAAATCCATCCCATCATTTTCACTTTATGATGTCATTGTATTAATTTGTCATTAATCGTGCCCGCTCTTCTCCATTTTGGCGCTTGGTTTCGAACTTTTCTGCGGCTACTGTTTGCGTATTTATTGACTAGTTTTGAAGGCGTACTTGCAAGATAGGTTACGAAAAGAGATACCTATAAAAGAGTGACACATCTTTATGCTTCTTCAAACAGAACCTAGCAGCAGCTGGTGAGAGAAGGCCGTAACGTATACTTTGCTCTCACGATTTGGTGAGTACACAATTTATTTTATATCATTTGTTTATTTTTTTAAATTTCATCTCATTTAATTGTTTTGATGCTAGCTTGGAAATTTTTTTAAGAGCCATACAGAGAAAGTACTTCGTATATAAGTGAGTTAATAGGAAAAACACTTCAAACTGATTTCAACGTCATTTTTAAAGAGTTCAAAGGTGTTTAATTAAATTTGAGCGTTTAAATTTTTCTTAAAGATCCATTGACAACTCTACTTCAATCTACATATTTTCGTCATTTCAATTACTTTAAATATCTCTGATTAAAATTGGCGAATTGAAAAATCTCTTAATTAAACGATTTTCAATTTTCTTTCTTGATCATGGTTTCACTATAACTTTATTTTTTTATTATCAACTGCAAGCTTTGTTTAATACTGACGAATATGGTCGTTCTGACGTTAAAGCTCATAGCAATCGAGTGCTTGTTTTAATACCTTTTTATCAAATGAAATTCTCATTATGCTTTCTGCTCTTTGTGTAAATAATTCAGTCCCTCTTCAGAATCAAAAGAAGCGCCGTTGCCAAGATCTTGATGACTCTTGTATTTGCGTCACCAACGACTTCATGAGAGTTGGGGGTGAAGAGTTGGACTGAAGACCATTCACAGTCATGCCATCTTTGGCGGTACACCTCATCTTGCTCGGTAAGTCATTCTAATCATTTTATTCCGGGCCCCATTTCACAAAACTTGTCATCAGTGATTAAATAACAGCTTGTTTTGTATAAGCTAGTGGAATCCTTGGTTTTGAATGGTTATCAGCAGATTTGTTACTGAATGTTTATCATTTGTCATTGAAAAAAGGCTTTGTGAAACTGGCCCCTGATGTCTATCCAGTTACGCTCGCTGGTTGGATTTGTTGTTACATGAGAACGATCGCAAAGTCTTCAGAAAAATCACCCTGAGGCAATTTTAGTAGCCCTCTCTGTCGCCTATGGTGATGTCCGGACGTGATAATGACAAATTACGCAATCTGAACATGATTTCTGTATGCAATTCAGCAGGGTATATTTAAGTTCATTTTTTAAGCTTTGGGGATTTTGATAATCTTGAAGTCTATTTGTTTTGATGGTTTTAATATTGACGCCTGTTAGATAGACTATAAGTTCATGCATACGCAGTTGTCATTATTATTGATAGAATAGCCATTCCAATGAATTTTGTTATCTTTCTCTCTTTCTCTCTCTCTTTCCCTCTCTCTCTCTCTTTCTCTTTGTTTTGTTTCTCTTTCTTCCTCTTTCTCAATCTCTTTCTTTCTCTTTCTCAATCTCTTTCTTCCTCATTCTGTCTCCTTCTCTATATCGTTCTTCGTCTTTCTCAATCTATTCCTTTCTGTCCTCTTCTCTTTCTCTCGCTTTCTCTTTCTCACTATCTTCTCTCTCTCTCTCTCTCTCTCTCTCTCTCTCTTTCTCTTGCCATTCGTTCTTTTTCTACGTTTTCTTGCACTCTCACTTTCATCCCTTTTCATTCTTTCTTGCTCGTTCATTCTTCCTATCTCTATTACCTTCCCCCGTTTTTACTTCATTTTCACCTACGTTAGCGATTGATTAATATTCGCGTTCAATAATTGTTGCAATGTCTATTGCCTGTTGGTTATCCGTCATGATATTTCCACATTGTCAAAATGATAGTTATAGTATTGATGATTATTTAACAATAATAGTAATAATGATAATATCAATAATAATGATAATAATAATAGAAATAACAAAATTATAACAAATAATAATCCTTTTGATTTGCATACATTGAATACATGTTCAATATCTCTAAGCGCTCCCCAGATTTATTATTACCCCGGTCAACTACTTCAGGCTTACCCCCACACATTGTGTGTACAATCTCCGCTCCCTGGGGATTATTCCAGCCAGGCGCCACAATGCCCAATGTAATGTCCTAGACTTGGATGCAATAACTCTTCTTTAGTGAACGTAGTGTACACCTCACCATCAAGTATTGGAATCAGCAGTGTTTACACATCTTCAGTAGATCAGTGAATTTAAAGGGATTGGCTATCTTTCCAACAGATTCTAAACAAAATCCTAGATTTAGCTCATGCCGCAATCATAATCATAATTATTTAGGTCAGTCAGGAATCCCATTACTTATACAAGCTGACCGCCCGGCTGATTATCAAGATATTTATGATTGGAAATCGAAATATCAAAAACAGTTTTCCCAACGGTTTTTGTAACACTGCAGTCTACTGGGGGAAAATGTTTTTATTTTTTTGTGGCACTTCATGATCATTTTGAAGCGCAATTTGTTCAGAGCTTCTATATATTACACCATATCTATAGACACTGATAACACTTAGGGCCATGCATCTAAATTTAAATGTTTATTCACTTCATATTCACGCCGTCATGTATTAAGTATATCATCATTGAATATTAGTAAGTCTGTGTGACCTAATTACGACAGCTATTGTATGCCTTATGTTGATAATACAACGACTAGAGTGTCTAATAAGCCTTCTGACTGTTATTATGCAACAACTCGTAACAGGTGAACGTAAAAGTTCGTTAACAGAGGATTGACCTGGGGAAGTATAGCATAAGAGAGAGGGAGAGAGAGAGACGGATAGAGACAGATTCAAAGACACACAGAAAGGCAGAGATGGAGATAGAGAGACAGAGGTGGGGATAGAGGCTGACACTATGAACATGACTGACAAAGAAAGCGGACAAAATATACAGTTCCTCAGGTAGTCAAAGGAACATTCCTTCACTGCTTTTATGTAAAAATGTGTAGAACACAGGTGTCACATGCATATTCACCCTTTTACATAATAGCAGTGAAGGGATGTTTCTTTGTCTACCTGAGGAACTGTATATTTTGTCCGCTTTCTTTGTCCGCTATATTCATAGTGTGACAGAGTCTCGGTAAAGGAAGACATGGGAGAGAGAGAGAGAGAGAGAGAGAGAGACAGAGCGTGACATAGAGTGTGATATATACAGACGGGGGATTAGATATAGACATAAGAGAAGAAAGAAAGTGGGGTACCGTCAGAGAAAAGGAGGAGTTAGGGAAGGGGAGAAGGAGAGAAAGAAGGGGAAATCTATATTCTAAGTAAATACAAACAGGTGGCATATACGGTACAGGCCTACATCAGTAACAATCGCCTTCAGTAGATACAATAACATCTACTTTTCGAAGGGCCGCCCGAAACATGGTCGTTTGCTTGCACCCGTACTTTTGTAAGGTATAATATGAAATAACCACCTAATTATCTTAAAACATAAAATATTATAAAAATCACACCATAATTGTTTTACGGGGCGTGTGTAAACGAACATCAGAGATTCAGTCGGTACCGAGTAAGTCTTCCTATACCGCCAAGGCGCTTTCATAGTCATGGTCTACTTCAGCTCTCACAGAGCGCTCAGTTTCCAGAAACAACGAAAGAAAGTCGAATTTTTTTCAGACGCGTTATTTGCAGAGCACTCGATGATAATGGCGGTTTCTGGTGAGATGCAAATAACGTGAAGTAGTACTAGAGAACAGGAACCATCTAGGTCTGAAATTGTATAGTTCTTCTTTCCAAATAGGGTATAATTTTTATGAATATAGAAAGGAACGGAGCAACGGAAATGATGATATTTGATTTCACTCTTGTTCTACCTCTAAATTTCTAATATGAAATGTTCTTCATACTCTCAATGTTAATATTCTTTGTAGCAGAATCCGTCACTGTATATTGTAATGTTAGAAAATCACTGACATTTTAAAGTCCATTGCCGTTTAATACCAAGTCGCTAAAAGTGCTGTGGGCGACATCTATTATAGTGATTCTTGTTTACAGTTGCATCGCTGCTATATTGTAGGAGGGTATGTTTAGACACAATTCAATTCAATCAATTATCCACAAGTAGATTAACAATACAGATGACCAGGTATCTTCAGAAAACCACAGGCCTCTTAAATACGAAAACACCTGAACGTAGAATAATAGTCGAAACTAAAACAAAACCAACAAAATCAGAAATAGTTGCAAAATACAGGTTTGATGATCATTCAAGTAAACGGGAGTTGAGATGTGGATACATAATATTCAGATAAATGCGGAAAAGGTTAAATATTCGGCAATAATAGTGATGCAAACACAATTATTGTTTCTGAGTTGATTCTTTAACTTCTTTTTCTTTGTGCGTTTGGGTTTTTCGGTGTGCGTGTGTGCGAATGGGTTCGTGTGCGTGTGCGCGTGTGTATGCTCTTATCTGTGCGTGTTCCATTTTTTGTTGTTTAATTGTTATGCAAAGACACGTCTGATGTGGCCAAATTATATGAGGAGTCGGACAAATTCTGTTCTTTCACGGGTTTCTGCTAGAGTTACATCTCTCTTGGGATATGAGTAAGCTCTTCCTTGATAATACACGTGTAGTGTTTCAAGTGGCTTACTGCGTCTGACTGCTTCTGTCTTTCAAGTTTCTCTCTTTTTCTTTTTCGGTCTTCTCAACCTCTCCCGATCATCGTTGATCTCTCTTATTATCTTCATCAATCTCTCTCTCTCTCTCTCTCTCAATCTCTCTTTCATATACACATACACATACACAAACACACTCACACTCTCTTGTTCTTTCTATCTCTATATATTCATCGTTTCTATCCCTTTCTCTCTCCATTAATCTCTCTCTCCATCTAACTCTCTCTCTCTCTCTCTCTCTCTCTCTCAATCTCTCTCCCTCGTGCTCTTCCAATCCTTCACTCTTAATCCACCCTCTCTTATATAATTTATCATTTCATTCCTTTTTCCTCTCTTTATCTTTCTTTCTTTGTTCCCGTCCCACTCTCTATATCCCCTCCACATCTGCCCACGCTTTAAATCATCCGACAAAAATAATGTGTGTGATGATGTATTACGTTCACCTAGCTTTGAACTCCCAAATCCCATAAGAGATTATCAAATAATAACATCAATAAGATGCATAAACTGCTGAAAAAATGAATAATTCAAAGGTTCAACGTTTACATGTTTCCAGTCATTACGTGTTTTAATAAATGTTGTCTCTATATGGCCGCTATACTTCTTTGATTGTTTATGTTTTCTATATACACTTTTATCACCCATTATTTTCTAAAGGGGTCCACAATTTACAAGCTCTGCTTTTCAGTGGACCTCTTCATTTCCTAAATATATATATATATATACAGTTAATTTATAATTCAAACTTTGTCTTCCTCAAATGTTTAAATTACTGTAAAGATTTTTTTATCACAAATGTAACTATCTTTTGTATACATTTTATATCGTTTACGTTATTATGTATTGGGTTTTGTTGGAAAAAAAAAATGAAATGAAATGAAATGAAAATGAAAATGAAGCTATCTTTATATTCAACGCGAACCAAAAAAGAAACACAGTTATGTTATAATACAAGCGAGTTGCGGCCAATGCATTTACAGCGCCCCTGTATGATAAATCTTAACCCGAATTCACTCTGCATGCGATATCTCGAGTTCAGCATTTTCAGGTTATAAATATACACCGAAGAATAGGCGTCTCGTGGCGGTTTTGAAAAGCATATTGACTATGAAGTTGAGATATTCATTTCTAACCTCACCATAGGGATGTGAGAGGAAGATTCGACACACGTAAGTTATGTAAATAGACTGAGGCGTCCGGTCAGTGTATTCTCACATGTTGGTGTCTTGTTTGTCCTCTCAAAATTGAGCATTCAAGAAAGGCATCTGCGATTCAATCAAAGCGAAATCAATCAACATCAATTATTTTTGAGGATTAGAGATGTAGATTTATTCAACTATTTGCTGTATTTGGATTTGTGTTTCGGAATCTGCAGATTATATATTGTGAGACAGATTGTTTTAGAAAGTTGTGATTTTAATACAAATATCACATATTTTAAAATAATTTTCAAGATCAGTAAGGTAAAAAGTAGCATAACTGATTTTCAGCAATAAAATAAGGCGAATGCAAAAGTCATCAAAAAAAATTATTTTAAAAGAATTTCCTGGTAGTGCTGAAAGCAAACGAGTGGTAGAATACATTTCATTATTAATTTTACCGTTTACTTCTCCCTCATTTTTTTCTCCATCTCCTGTATTTTGTCAAAATGATAAAAGAGGAGGGGAAAATATGTAATGAGGGAAGGAAAGGAAGAAAATTGATTGGAGAAGGGGCAGGAGCAGGAGCAAGAGCAGGCAGAGTATAAATTGGAAGATGAGGATAAAGACTAGAGGGAGATGGAAGTGATGGAAACAAGGAGGAAAGGGGAGAAGAGAATGAGGAGAGGAGGGGAAAGAGGAAGATAAGAAGGATGAGGAATGGAGAAAGAGGAGTGGAGAAGGAGGAGGAGGAAGAAGAAGAAGAGAGAGATAGTGGGCATGAAGACGAGGAGGAAGGGGAGATGGGAGAAGCGGAGAAGGAGATGAAGGGAACAAGGATGATGAGGTCAGGGATGAAGAAGACGAGAAGGAGAAAGAGGGTAAAAGTGGAACAGGAGGATTGGGAGAATTTTAAGGAGGATGGGACGGGTGAAGAGGAGGAAGGAGAGGTAAAGAGAGGAATAAAATGAGGGGGAGGAGGAAGAGAAGGCGGAGGAGGAGGAAATGAAGACAATGGAAGGAGGGAAGCAACAAAAATTAACTAACGTCCTGAAAATTCCTTGCAAATAGATCTAATGATGCTTTCTTTTTTCTCTTTTAAAGTGACATTTTTCTTAGGTCAGAGAAATGAGGCTAATGGGGAGCAGATGTCATGCACGGATGCCCGTCGCGCATGTGAAAGAGATGATTTCTGTAGCTTGGGACTCATTGCTATCCAACATCACTGCGGAAACGTGGGTGAGTGTTGAAGGATCAACGACCATTGCGCTTTAAAACAAAAAACAAAACGAAACGATATGAGAAGCTATAAATAATATTGATCAAGTCTTAACGCATTAGATGTGTCATGGCTACTCTTCTTCTTCTTCATCTTCTTCTTATTATCATTATCATTATCATCATCATCATCATCCTCGTCATCATCATCATCGTCGTCGTCATCATTATTGTTAATTCATGATCATAACAGTCATCATCCTCATTAATGTTAGTAATCATAGTGGTAGCAGAAGTAGAAGCAGTAGAAGTATACAGCTCAGATGGAATATACTGTTTTGTTTTTGGTTTGTATTTTCGATAAAAACCAGCATGATCACCCTATCATCATAACGAAAATACAAATGAGTATGATGGTGATTATGATAATCTTAATAACTTTAACCTGGGAACATTCATCAGCTTCAATGCTCTTTTTCCTGATGGCCCTACCATTATTATTACGAATTATGAATAATAATAATAATAATAATAATAATAAAGTCATTTTTATATAGCGCATAATAACAAATTCTCTATGCGCTTTACAGCAACTAATTATATAATAAATTACATGATCAATCGTAGGATTTAATTATGTATGAATTAACAGCTACATATCGTATCTATCCCCAAAAATGGTAGTGACGGGTTGAGAATTGGACCCTGAATCCTTGGACCGAGAGTCCAGGAAGTGAACCCCTGGTCACATCCATTAACCGTAGCTCCTAATATTTTCAGATGGTCGGTCATGTGAAGCAACGCCCTCAGGCCTTGTAAACTGTCTGATGATGTTACAAGACGCTAGGATATATAGAGTCTTTGCTAGCTGCTATTGCGACCCGTCCAGCCCCGAGTTTGCAGCATGCCATCATCAGCAACGTCTGACCATCTCCAATCCGTGCATGAACGCTACAGGTAACGCTTTTGTTTTCTTTGTTCTGAAAGGATGTCCAAATCAAACTTGCCCAATAGTTCAATGTATCCAAAGATACATGGGCCAGAGACTGTCTATGAGTCCTACCGAATCTTAGTGTAAATATCGAAATAGGACCCCACATTGAAGATTTATCGCAGAACAAACTATATGACCATAGCTCACACCTACTGTTATCTCTAAGATCCACATACGAAAAAAATGTCAAAAATGTGAATTTTCAACCGTGACCAATGTGTTTTTAAAAAATCCTACTCTAATTGTTGAACATTTCCCTATAGGAGAAGAACATTCTTTACAGAATGGTTAATATCACAAGTATTATCTAATGATAAAAATATAAAAGAACTCCGACGAAGTTCCGGGGACTTTTCAAAACTAAACATGGGTGCTTTAATTAAACCACTTTCAACAAATTAGACTGTTGGAGAGCACTACCGTTTAAAACCTGTATTGCAACCGTTTATATCAACTTCTAAAGATAATAAATGAAGAAGTATTCAGAAAAGTTATAGTGAAAACCATCACCCATCAACACAATAAGAACGAGGCAAATGCAATCCGTTGGTCACATAATATACATAGAGGATAATCTAGAGAAGAAACAAAAAACTACATTAACAGGGAAGATTACTGAAAAAAGGAGCAGGGGAAGGCAACGACTTACATACTTGCAAAGCCTGAAGAAAAAAAGGGCAACCACAAATAAAAACAGCAATACAAGCTTTTAAAGAATAGCAGATAACAGACAGAAATGGATGGTATTGACCCCCAATGTCTGTAACACTCAATGATGATCATGAGTGGCGATGATCAATTTGGAGCATATCTTATGAGACAATGTGTCTCTATGCTCAGTATACCCAAAGGTGCAATATGTTTCAATTATTCCGGAAGGGGGTCACTTATTCTTTTAATCCTAGAGCGTAAGCCTCCGATTAATTCGTTTGCCATCTTTCTTCTCAATCTTGAAGACGGATCGATGCCCCATGGTAATTCTGATTGTTTGTTCAGTCAAGTTGGGCCATGTGCTCCCATGAGTTTGACCAAGCTACAATTTCCGCAAAAGAATCTCGATATTCTTTTCTGCCAATAGTTCAGGTTAGAATAAGGGAACCACTCGAAGAAACGACCGGACGTGTTAGAATGATCACCTCTCATTTCTACACTGCTGCTGATGCTAAATGCGTTCGTCACAGACATTTAAACAAATAATCGTTATCTTTCTTTTTTGTCTTCCTTAAGGTTCAGCTCCTTCACTGTCAATCTCCTCCGATGGGTCGTCGGCAATACCTGCGCCAACATCCGCACCAGGTAACTGCTTCAAAGTTATCAAGGCATGCAAGGAAGAGACGGTCTGCCAGGAGAAACTGCAGGCCTTCTACGATGCTTGTCCTACGCGCAAGCACGACACATGCAGATTGACGTCCGCCGAGGAACGCGCTGTCTGCACGTCAGCACAGTGGGCCTTAGATGAGAATCTCATGAACTGCACTTGCGAAGAAGACAGGAGTAAATGCAAACGACAGAGAAAGCGGCTTCAAGAGAACCCCTGCGTCAGTACGTATTCTTTAACACTTCAACAATCCGTGGGAGGCACTCGTTCTTTTCCGGAGTTTCCGAAAGTTGAGAATGAAACACATATTCTTGTAAAAAAAAAATAAAAAAAAAAAAGCTGCTACGGTTATATGCCATAATTCCTAAGGTTCTGTACTCCGCCAGTTCGTTATTCCGCAAAATGAAAGAGGATTACTGATTCAGGTCCGTAATTCTGAAAAACGATGCAGGGATTTATGTCGTTTTCGGAATACAATTATAAACCTCTGGGTCTATGAACCCTACTTCATTGTCATATATCATTTGCGTACCAAGCAATAGTCTTGCTATTGTAATTTTGATCAACCAGATAATAAGTGGTCTATTTACCCCAAAAATTCCATTAAAATTGTTTTGTAGTTTCAGCTCCAACCCACGGGGACATCACAGCGGCTGCACCTCATAGACTTACTGGTGGTGAGTTAAAATAATTTAATCTTACAGTTACATCACCATGCCCATGTTTCACTGAAAATCAACGGATAACGTTGGCCAACTTTCCGTGAAATGAATTTAAAGAAGAAGAAAAATCCATACCGATGATTCCTGTAAGTCTGTTCCTTGACTGGCCCCTCTGTTAGGCTTACACGATGTAATTAACCTCTGGAGCCTTCAACCAACAAGCTATGCTTTTATCTATAGGCTCCTTATTATATTCATTTCCACAAAGCCGATTGTGTGTTACCGATAATAAGCGGCCATTAGCCTATCCCTTAATTATGAGTCTCAAATTCAGCAGCTTTACAATCCATAGATGTAGGTATGATTATGACGACGCTTGCGCATGCTTTATTACCATTGGCAACTATATGGCGTCAATGATTAACACCTCACAGTTTTACACAATTTGAAGGGAAAACAGATACCGGTATTGACTTTATTCCCTCATACAAGTTCAACATAAACGGAAAATTTTTCCATCAAAAATGGCATATGCATTTTTCAGATGTGGGAATTATAAAAAGTGTGTGATTTTGAACATTGTATTTTGTTCTCTTTCCCAAACTTACATCCGAATGTCGTATTGCGGTCGGATTGCCAATTTAAGGAATACAAATTTGTAGTGATTATTACTTCGAAGATATTGCCAGGGGTTAATAGCTTAATGAATCGCGTCTTTCTCTTTAGATGAGTCTGTTAAGGGCGAATCAGAGGAGGAGGAACTAGACGAGCTTGAGGAGGAATGCCCGGTGGATGAAAGTAACGTGGTCATTGGACCAAGTGGGGGTTACAACAATGGAGGTAATTGTGTTTGAATAACAATATTTCTGATCGCACAGATAGTGCTTTATTTAATTTTCTGCTGATTGGCTCACACAATAAATCTTCTTAAGCTGTATGGAATTCGCTTATCAAATGTCAAATTCCTCTTAGTGATTAATAATCTAGCTATATAGGAATGTTTATTCTAACGAATGGTGACGGAATCGATGACAAGTAAAGTCAGTCAGTCATCTGTTGTCTAAAGAAATTGTGTGTTTTTATGCGAAAGTTTCACTAGAGCAATGATAGATTGTGTAGTTTAGTAAAATATGTTCAACCAAACTTTCACAGCACATGACTGTCTTCAAGGATATAGCAAATCATTATTATCCCTTTTTTAAATTTTGTTTTTTACTGTTTCTCTTTTGTCTTTTTCCTTTACATCCCCTTTCCATATATCTCTGTGTTCTAATTCTTTCTTTCTTCTTTGTCTTTTAATCCCGCTTCATTCTTCTATTTATCCTACACTTTTCATTTATTTTCCGTGCTCCTTTTAAACCTTTTAATGATATTAAAAAACACTCCGGTTACCAATGCTTTAGGAATTCAATTAACGGTAGTTATCTGTAAAGTGTCTTTACGTATTTCACACACTGCATCACATTATGCTTTTCAGTTAGTAGTAGATATCAACATCTTGTATGCTGTAATTCTAATCGATTGTGATGATATAATAGAATAGAATATTGGTGTTTATATTACCTGACTGCTTAGAAAGCATACATGCTTGTTAGTAAGCAACCAGTGGGCCAACGGCTTTAAATCCTCTCTGAAGGACCTGGTAATGAGGATTAATGCCTTGCCAAAGGGCACTAGCGCATCGACTTGGTTTCGAACCCGGGTCACCGGATTACGAGACCACTGCTCTACCAACTGAGCTATCGCGCCTCATTACAATTATATACAATTTTGTTGGCTTACATTAATTTCACGTTATTTCCCTAGCGAGTACGTGCAAGGAAGCCCTGACCGAGTGCACGATGAACAAAGTATGCCGTGATGACTTTAGCGACATCCTCATCAAGTGCAACCCGCAAGAAATCGAAGAGTACTGCAACCGCCAGGAGTGTCGAAGCATAGTCCGCAAGTTCTTTACGGACACATCGCCGATCTACACTCACGCCTTGGTGTTTTGCCATTGCCAGGTAGGCGACATACAGTGCGAGACGATCAAGAGAGGACTCAATCCTACCTGCGCCCGATCAGGGATCCAGAACCTGGACTGCCTGGACCTGGTCCAACGCTGCAATGAAGACTCATACTGCAGGTAGAATGATCGTTACTTATAGCTACTTGCGCCCTCTATATAGCAAACAGTGCCTAATCGGTGACCATTGGTCCCCCGTGGTCCCCTTTTTCTTATGTTAATTGTGAGCTGATTTGATGAGATAACCACCTGTCAGTGACCTTGCAGGTGGTCTAATCCCCCTGGCCAAACTAGTACAGACGGGCTTTGAAAAGAAGGTTGAGACCTGTGGGAAAAAATTGTGAGCTTTCTAATTCTTGAAACCTCAGAACAGACCCTACAAAATGTTGGTCATTTTAATACAGCAAGGAACCTACTAACATGGATAAAAGAGTATATTACAATGGGAGAGGAGCTCGAAAAATAAGTCAACGAGTTTCCAGCTTGTGTTCGATCAATTTCAACTTGGAAAAATTCATAACTATCTTATTTTTCATAGGATTTTGCTTACAATCTCACTGATCTGTTTTAGTCTAATTTCACTACTTTTACCAAAGCAGCACAATGCCGGGGTGGACTTTGCCGTTAATCATTGACTTTCCTTCCTACATCCTAAGGTCAGCTTACAGGAACTACCAGGAGCTATGTAAGCCTTCAGACGATGAGAGCGGTTGTGCCTACAGCTACGGTGCCTGTCGGTCTGCTAGGGTAGCTATTATCATGACCATCATGGGATCAAGTTGTTCCTGTGATAGCAACAACACTGACTGTCGCTATCACCAGAAGATGATCTTTGACAATTCCTGTTACGGTGAGGATATCTTCTGTTGCTTTTGTCGATGATCATTATGATGTAGCTGTTAAGGGGGGAGGGGGATACGGTAGACGGTTCTAGGACAACTACTCCCCGGAAAACTATCCTGGGGTAGTTGTCTTGGGGGTAGTTGCCCGGGGTAGTTGTCTGGGGGTTAGTTTTTCTAGGGGTAGTTGTCCGGGGGGTAGTTTTCCGGGGGTAGTTGTCCTAGGAGGAAGTTGTTCTAGAGGGTAGTTGTCTGGGAGTAGTTGTCCGGGGGTAGTCGTCCTAGTGAGGTAGTTGCCCTAGGGGGTAGTTGTCTACGGGTTGTTATCCGGGGCTGGATGTCCCGGTGGTAGGTGTCCGGATACGAAGGTAGACACATGCCCTCTCAATGGTGATTCAACAGTTGCTCTGACGACGATTGCTCCGAGCTTTATTTCGTCAAAAGTTTTGGATCGCAGTTGGGATCTAGGTTAGATTTTATGGTTAGGGTTAGGTTGAGTTAAAGTGTTGGGTCCAGGGTTGATGTAAGGAATTTGGTTGAAGTAGGAAATCACCCCTGAGCAATAATTGAAGCCGCAGTAATTTTTGCGTCGTACAATAATATTTTCCCCCTCGATTAAATGGGGACTTAATTGAAGTGTAGAGAAGAGGAGAGAAAAAAAGGATGAGTGGGAAAATTGATATGATATGACTCCCACAATCCCTAATCAATACGTTTGTTAATTGCATGTCATCTTTTGAGTAAGACCGGTGTCCCCCCCTCCCCTTCATATATAAACCAACGCTGCACCAAAGGCTTTTGTAGTGACTTAGCCCTGATTAATATAAGTGCAAATCGTGAAACATACATATATATGTACATTGTGTGATTGTATATACGTAAATTTGAATTAAAAACAAATTTATTATAGTATCCGGCAATTAACGTCATAAACTGACTGACTTGCCTAAATTAAACAAAAACAATAACAACATTTTAAAAAATGGTTATCCGATGCACCTGTTGACATGCTTGATGACCAAAACCTTTCCACGCATCTGTGCTTTCTGTTGTTTTTTTACAGGCATGTGGTGATTAATGTGACTGTACCTAACGCATAAATCTATCGTATTTTATTTCTCACTTGGGAAAATTATTGTCAAGAAGTTAGAAAAGAGCAGTACGACATTTCCCGCCAGATTAATCACCTGACCCGTTCTCAGCCAACCATTAAGTTCATAAAATAGCTTCTTGATCAGTAATGACATGATCTGAGTAAGTTCGTAATCTGACTGTGCCAGAAACAAGCAAACATACCTAAATAAATGTGGAATCCTAGTACTTTATCGCTCCAAGACGTGCTTTTATTATTTGTTCTGCCAATTCATTCCATTTGTACGCAGATCTGTTCTAGCTCTATTAATGTGAAATAGGCCAAATAAATATATATTGTATTTTTTTTTGGAGTTTTTTGTTCCTGCTTAAATTGTGTTTGTAATTACATTTTTACAGGCGTACATTAATCATATGTGATAATTTTAATCTAGGGAGTGAACTTTAATGTCATCTTCCGAAAGACGATCGTTCCCATGGTACCGCTAGACGTTAGAATAGTACATTTTTTAAAGCCCCCCTAAAGTGTTGGGAGCCCTAAATTTGCCAAATATTTGATGGCAAAATTTCACTTAAATTGTATCATAATGTGAAAGAGGATGCCATTTAAGACATACTCCTGCAAAGATCTCCCCCCCCCCCCCAACAACAAAATGTGTTTGAAGACAAATATTGATCTAAAAAAATACACAATTTGGATTTCTGTTGTACGCAGAAAACCTAAATTTTATATTCTTTCATCAATTTTCGACTTAAAACACATTTGTTTTGAAATTCCTTGCAAAAAATCTTAAAATACATCCTCTTTCGCTTAATGATACAATTCGTGACATACAATAAGTGTAATTTTGTCATCAAATTTTTGGAGCTCCCAACACTTAAGAGGGGCTTTAAGTTTCGTTCTATCGCTATGATGCAGCTGGCAGCTGGCCTGCTTTACCGGTAATTGCCTATAGTCAATATATTGTGTCTAGTATATTGGTTTATTCATTTGACTCCCAATGCAGTGGTAGAGGGTTCGAATCCCAGCCAGTCACTAATATCCTTTGTCAAAATATGAATCCACTTTTGCCACTCAGGTAAATGGGTACTTGCCTAATGCTGGGGTTCATAATGATCGTAGGACATTCAGGAAGAACATTATGATGCTGAGGAGGCTTGCCTGGGTAAACAAATATTTTTATAATATATCTTTGACCATTGTTGCCCTTTTTCTTCTAGACCGCTCCGACAAAGGTTACTACTCCTCCATCGCACCTACTGAACCAGCCGATCTACCTCCTACCGGTAAGAACTTATTTCATTTATTCTTTGTGCATGCTCATGTCGTTGCACGAACACTGGTTTGGTAGGCGGCGTAGGCCTATCAGTTATTGAACACGAGGTGTCATTTCGATTGCGTTATTGCATTAATTACCTATCCTAGTCAAGCATATTTCTCGGAAGCACCAGCCATGGATATATTTGGCAAAGGCACTTCCGGTTACCATACATATAAAATGGGTCGAGAACGGGAAATTCCGATAGAAATTGTAGTTCCACATTTAACTATAAGAAGCAGATTATGATGGTGTCTACATAGGTCTCATCAAATCATCGGGGGAGTCAGATTCAAACCTAAACAATGGTTTCGTAAAATAAGGAATTAGTTGACACTGCTGTACCTTCTCTATGGTAGCCGGAAGAAACCTTGTCTTGTCATTTTCTTCAGTATCGTATCTGCGCATGTGCTGACCTGCGCAGTGTGGGAAGGTCGTCATCTTCTGTCGAACATCGTATTTGCGATAGGGTCGATATAGAGCAATGAACCCATACGCTAGTAATTCAAGGCAGTGTTGCAATGTTTATCTAGTATTCTTCTTCTGTATGATGTCATCCCCTCTCTCATGGCGTGTCAATTACCGCCACTCACTGACGCAGTCCTTCCTTTCCAAAAAAACGCCTCGTGTGCACCGGGCATTGTGACGCACCCATCATACCTGTTGCATATGTATATTTCTCATTTTCTTTACACTTCTTTTGCCACAATCATCACATAAACTAACATTATAACGCTAACAGCACTAACTACTACGTAATTATCTAGTACAGTACGTAATGTCTTGATTTATGATAAAAGCACGTAAAGGGAATTCGAGACCAGTAAACATTTCATTGAAAGTTCGATACTAGCTTGTAGTTAGGACTATTTGATTACATGAAAAACCTATTTAAAAAATACAGAAAGAAAGAATTCGTCATCAGATTCGAATAGATTCACACGTTTCCTTGTCAATTCTTTGTTATGTGTATTGCTTAATATTTGTTAGCTTAATTATTATTTAAAAAAAAAACTCCATTACAAGTATGTTGAATTGCTTCAACCCTACAATTATTGAAAGAAACTACGTTTGGTTAATAAAACAGGATTGTTTAAAGCAACAGAAAGAAACATGCTTTAGTAATTGTCGTCTAAAATCAGTTGCGCACAATATGGCTCGCCAGCACCATCACTACTTCAAGCGTTCAACGCATCGTATATTCTGACACCATTGATTGAGCACACATTATTTCAAGACCACTCCACTACGGTCACCCTTTTTTATATATATAAGAATGTTGCAAAGATCACCAATCAGTGGTATACTACTTTCACTACGCTGCACGGCTGCACCACAAACTCTCAAAGACAGCGCTATATTTTAGAATCTGGTTTGTCTCACACTCTAAGCAGAAGCTCAGTCTACTAATCGGTCTGTTGGACAAACGAAACGCTCATGCCGTAATCAAGTTAACGTTGGAGCAACAAGTGGTATAACGCCCCAGCCTACCCCTGGCCTATCTTTCGAATCACAGCCTCTTCTTCGACCGCTGTACACTCAGCGCGATCCTTTGAGCGTCTTACCGCTGCCTCAACCGCTGTCTCAACCGCTGCCTCAACCACTGCCTCAACCGCAGCCGGTGGATAAACAACCGGTGTCTCAACTGGAAAAAGTGCTCAAACAACACCTTGTGCGTTTCTTCTTTCGTGATCCAATGCGTCAACAGAAACGTCAGCCGGGGAGAAAAACCGAGCGTCAACCGGAGCGCCAATCTCATCGTTAATCAGTCAATGCGTCAGCAAGACAAGGAAAGACGAGTAACCATCCGATCTAATCTGTTTTGGACAGATGATTTGAAGGATGTCAGGAAGGACATGAAGCATCATTTGCACTGCAGACGCCAAACGGCAACAGATTTATTTCTCTCTGTCTATCTCCGCCGTATATGACTGTACCAGGAGTGAGGCTGTGACAATGTCATTCAGAGTCGTCAACATTAGACTATAGAGTAAATGAAATTTGTGCCTTGAAATATTATTCTTCCGAACTGGATAAAGAAGTAAAAAGGGCATTATTTTACACTTCACTATGTGCAGGTGCATCAATCGTTCTTTCTGAATGAAGAACAATAGTCATGCATGAATAAGTCATGAAGAAGTATACATGTAGCTATATAATAGAAAATATAATGTTCAAAAGAAATTACCGAAATGAATGGTTCTAAGTAGCAGTACTAATTAAAAACTTATATTTTTAAACACTTTGTGAGACAAACTTTGATGGACTTCATCAAAACAAAACGTGAAACTTCGCATCGTTAGATGTAATTTACTTCCTTTAACGTAATACAAGATTATTTCGTGAACACCTTTGAGAACTGATTCGAGTTACAGCAACCAGAAAATCATTCGATCTAAAACTTCAGAGCACACCAGAGTTCTTCCATGTGTTAAGAATATTTATTTTTAGGAGAAGTCGGTCGATTGAAAATGTAATGATTGGAGCTTGTTAGTTATATGTTCTTACTCTATAATTTAGCCTAAATATTAAGTTCACTCTCACTTAGAGCATAATGTTATCAATTAGTCAAAAAATAATTTGCAGGAACCAAAAAATGGAAGTAGGTTAGTGGTGTTTTATGTGTTTAGTTCAAATACTATGTGATAGATTAACTATGTTATTTAGATACTTTCAAAATCATGCCACTCGGTCGAACTCTAAATGAATTTATTTTTCTAAAATATATTTTTAATGGCCCAAATAACAGCGTTTTAAACATGTCTAGTCAACATAGATAAAGATAATGAATTAAATACTGGAATAAATGAATAAATGAATATCTTATGAATAGTGTGCTCTTTATTGCTCGATATTTTCAAAAATTATAGTATATGATATTCGAAACAAAATCTCATATATATATATATATATATATAGATTCACACATATATACAGTTAACAACTAAATTATTTATACCCTTACCAAGTTTTGTAATTTTAAATTAAGTTAAAAATAGATTTATCCTAATTCATGTTTCTTGAGAATGTGACATGTTAAAGCTTTAATCTAAATGTTTTCAAACAAGGTCCTAATTCAACCAGTCCACATTTCATTCCTGAGTTACGAGAAGAAGAATTACAAGCGGTATGAATAATTTAGTTTTTAACTGTATATCGATCGTGACATGCTCCCAATTATCATGTAGATATATATTTATGCCAGCATATTTTATATAACGTATAAAGAGGATAGGAAGTTATTTACAACTTCAAATATTGGTGCGGGAAAAACATGATAGGCCATGAAAATATACGTACATAATATTTACAAGTTTGTATCGATAGAAAAGTAGTTCTTTTACGCTCACACACATCGTATGTTGGCCTCTCGTTCTCTTTCTCTTTCTCTCTCTCTCTCTCTCTCTATCACACACACACACACACACACACCACACATACACACACACACACGTACACAGTAATGAGGCTAAAGACTTCATCATAACATTAACCATTGAAAGGATTTCTTTTTCTTTTTAACCCTTTCAGTGAACTTTATTTCACATATCTACAACGCTCACAATAACATTTATACATACACAATTTAAACATTATCTTAGCATAAGAATCAAAGCTCTTAACTGTGTTTTTTGTTTTAAAAATTTAAATGTGACATCTATTCATACTTCAAATCAGTTAAAAGAGTCCTACCATTTATTTTACTTTTTATTTTGAAATATAAATTAGATATTTAGCAAGATTATTCAAAATGTTTACCTAGCAATTATCTAACTTGCCTATTTCATATCCAATTACTAAAATTTTCTCATTAATGTTAATCTTTAATCCAAAATAAATATATATCAAACATGTTACAATTTTCCAAAAAACACGATTATCTTCTTACACTTTAGCATCATATGTCGTCGTGTTTCAATGGTATTACAATCTTCACACACATAATCATTTTTAATTTTCCACTAATATAGATCATATTTTGACGGTAAAAACATATGCAAAAATTTGAAATGAAATTGTTTGATCCTATTATCTCGTACCGGGTTCCAATTAAAATCGGAGGCCAGTGCTAATCGTTGCTGCCTAACATGGTATACAAAAAAACTCTTCTTGCTTTTTTCTGCACAAAAAAAATTAAAGAATTGAGATCGGAGTGGCATATGAAACGGTTGTAAACTTTCTATCCAGCAAGATATAATTTAACGTAATTTGAATAATAATGAATGCGCTGTCAGTTGCAGATTATTTGTTCCTGTGCACAGCATTGTGAATTGAATTAAATTGGCGTGACAAAAAATGATGTGTGAGAGAGAGAGAGAGAGGGGGGGGGGGAGAAGTGTGTGATAAAAAGTATTAATGTATGTTGCACTTTAAGAAACACTGATGCAAAGAAAATTCATTGATATGAAGATACACAGGACATTAGATTTATGTCTCACTCATAAATACTGCGTCATTGGCTCAAAACTCACATCATTCTCGCCATGTGTACCAAATCCATTCTCTGCTTCACCACTTATATTCAACAATAAAAATCCCACATAATTGTGATTGGCATTCATCACATCGTGAAGAATATTATGTTGAGGAGGACGTAAAGTGACATATTTGTTATTTGTATCGACATCGATTCACATTTTCATATCACAAAACGCAAAATGCCGATTAAGATACTTGGAGAAAACTCATTTAACGTCACCCATATAAATATTTTTTGTCACGGTCGAAATATTTTACATCACAAGAACCATCCATGACGAATACCTACGTGTGAATTCATTTATGTAGGATATACCAAAACATATTGTCGAATATTAATTTAAAGCAGTCTCTATAGAATTTTTTTTTTATAGACCGTCGCAAATCAAGACCCATTTCTTATCTTAGAATAATCAACCTTCGATTTGATGCATAAATTTAATAGGGCATATATATACTTGGCCATTATTTTCTGTAATCATTAAAAGCACGGTATCCTATATATTTCCATATGTTCAATAGCATTTCAGTGAGAGTATGTTCACATCTTCGGAAGATGATAGTGACAATAGGCCTTTAGCGCACGCGGCCAAAAATAATGATCAGGATGATTAAGATGTCTTCAATGACCTAAAAACAACGTGTGAACCATCTCCACATCTAAAAGGGTGTCAGCAGTGGGATATTAGGACATTGATTTCAATCAGGAGGAACAAAATCAGAACAATTCAGCTTCTGCTGTCTGCACTCCATACGCTGTGGCCAAGCTTCGATGAGATGATTCATTGTCCGGCGAGAAATCAACCAGACCACGTTGGGAAAACATTATTTAAATCCTATGACCTGTCGCCGCTCTTCGTTGCGATTCTCCACTGCTCAGCCTATCAAAGTGAACGCCGTCGTCGACATCCGTCGTCCGTAGACAATAAATATGCTACAAAGTTCAGCATAAATGCAAACCGCTGACAATGTATTGACAAGTTACATTGAGGGGTAATGCAAGACATTTCCGTCGTTAGATTATTCCATAATACAAACGTCTTTCTCTTTCTCTCCCTCCCCTCCCCCTCTCTCCCTCTCCCTCCCCTCCCCCTCTCTATCTCTCTCTATCTCTCTCTTTCTCTCTATCTATCTATCTCACACACACGCTCTCTCATTCTCTCTCTCTCTCTCTCTCTATCTATCTATCTCACACACACGCTCTCTCATTCTCTCTCTCTCTCTCTCTCTCTCTTACGTAATTTACGCTATTCCTTCTACCGATTCGATGTCACACAAACGGAAATTAATTTTCACCTAAAATTTACATCATGCCCTACAGATTTGTAAGTGATTCGTATATTCTACCACAGATCTGTCTTTGTTCAACTGAAGTGAGATCCCGCTAGATATTGCGTTTTTTGCACATGTGTTTACTCACTTAATAGGCCCGGACTACAACTTGAAATCGCTATAAAAAAAACAATTATCAGAATCTGAATGACAGGCTCATGGCATCATTATTGATCAAGTTTTCTTCAAAATATAATGAAAAAATAAAACAAAACAAAAACAAAACAACGACAACACAACCTTTCAATGTATATAAAGGTGACCGTGTATGCGGCTGAATAGCGAAAAAGAGACATTAACTCGTAATAAGGAATATTTACGAAAAGCACAATTTTGCTTGGAGTATAATAATTGAAACCATTTCCTAACATGAACCGGTTACAGAAAACAAAATATAATTTCACAACAGAAGCTTGGCATACAGGCACAACCCTAGAGAGTGTGCCTTGTGTGGGTGTGTGTGCTTGTTTGATTAGACGTATATGGAGTTTGCGTGTGCTTGTGTGTGTGGGTGGCATGTGTGTGGGTGGGGTGGGGTGTATTAGAGAGAGAGAAAGGGTGGAAGATGGAGAGGAAGAGAGAGAGAGAGAGAGAGAGAGAGAGAGAAAGATATTGTAGAAATCATATGACGTAAACGACACCCTTCATCCTAATTACCCCACTTAAGCTTTGAATATATCCCACATACATACACACGCGCGCGCGCGCGCACACAGTATTACAAAGTGTGTTTCTCCCAAGTAGCTGAAGTGCATTTCATATTGTACGTTTCTCTTGCAATGATTGAAAACAATGAGATGAAAGCGGATTTTAGTTTGATACCGTAGTATTAAGGTTAAATATCCTACTGGTCCTACAAATTAAATTGTGACAGAAGAAAATCGTACCAACCGTAATGTTAGCGTTGTTTGAAACTCCAACACTAAAGAATGGCGTAGATTGAATAATACCACAATGATTGCGTAAGAGACTTCCGCTTGATGCATTGTAATAAATTTTACAAATGTTCAAGCGTTATGAAATTACGCCCTGTAAGTGGTAAATATTTCGCATAGGTCCTGGAAGTCGGTTTAGTTCCAAGTCTTAACAATATTACACAAGGATATTCACAAAGCTTGCAAATTATTTGACATTTTCAATAAATGTCTGCAGTCCTTACTGAATAGAAATAAATCCTGTTAAAATGAAAAATATTCTAAATGTACCTTGCTTGCTCAAGGAATTACTCAATTATTTGGTTTATTTGTCTGTCTTTTCTTTTTGTTTTTCCCCAAAATTATTTAAAGAAGATATTAAATGCGGGCTACGATATATGCTTTCAAATTACCACGTGTACATTGAGATAATCATACAAATTATGGCTATAGATTGTTCAGATATGTCGCGGTAGACGCTGCAAGGAAAACAGCAGCGTTTTTTGTAGGCCAAAAGAAAATTAAAGGTTAAATTCCAACGGCATTTGAAAGACAATACTAATTTAGCATTTCCTTCAAAACGAAAGGGCTTGAAAATAGCTTTTAGTCGGAAAATAACGACCATTAGTTGTTGAATCGACTTAAGTTATTGCAATCACCTCAGTAATGGTCTGTTTTTCAGACCCTTTTACAGAATGGTCGTTTGTTTTGTGCTGCACAATGATTCAATCAGTTTAATTTGGGCCATTACAGGTAGTGGGTTATTGATGTAGAAAAATGCTCATGTATCTGTTACAGCTCATTTTATGTATGTTATTATATACCAAAGAAAAAAAAGAGATGTCAGTCAGTCACTCAATAATGTCTGACAGTGTAGTCTAGAATTTAAACGGATTACCTGCATAATTTCAATATTAGGACCTTGATAGGACACTGCTAATGTTTAAATTTCACAGTAGGACATACATGCCATATTCATAATTCATTCAAAGTTCTAAAGAATTTGATGTTGACTGCAAAAGGGACATAGTATCTTTAAGAAGGTACTGTAATAAGTGTCGATATGTCAAGTCAAATATCTGAAATCGTGAGTAAGTACAAGTTATATATATCATGGAAAAGAAATGTATTCTTTTTTATTTTCAAACTTTACAGAGTGCGTTGTCAATAACAGCCTGAACGGAATGCCCTACAAAGTCAAGCCGGGATCCCTCGCTTTGGTATAAACCTTTCCAACATGTTATTGTTAGTAGGCCTTTAGAAAAATACAGATTTGCTCATTTTAAATTATAGTATAAAACATTGCAAGTCTTCTGAAAAAATGAAAAATACATCGTCTGCTAGTGTCCATAAGGTTGTTAATTTAGTAGCATTTAATATAGCTTGTCCTTCTAGCTCTCAGTTTGATGGATGTTGTTGTAAGAATCTGGCATGGTTTTAAAATGAAGTGTTTTTAAAGTATATATTTGATAACACAACAAATAGTGATAAACGTAATGAATTTCATGTGTTCTTCTTATGATAGATTTCACAGCTGTATATAGAAGGCTTGTTTAGATACGCCGAGGGTGTTTTAATAAATGTTAAAAAGGAATGACAATTATTTTGTGCAAAAATGTATACGCGTAATCACTGAACTCTGTGCTATTAGATACGAAAATGTGAGCCGTATTACAATTACATTATTATTTTTATTTAAAAAAACACTGCGTTTTACCTCATCATATCTATTATTTTAGTGATCAACTTATTTTCTTAATTGATCGAGGAAATAGTCACAGTACTGTAGAATCACATTCAAAGATTTATTATCGAGCGCCCGCCAAAGCCAGGTTTTAACAAAATAATAGGAACAAGTAAGGTGTATTCCTTTGGCGTTTAGAGCACACACATTAAATTTTACCAAATTTCTCACCAAAGCAACCTGGAGAGATGATAACTTAAATATTCTCGATTTGCGTTTGTTTGTATCCACAGGTTCCTTTTGGTGATAGATGCTACTCAATGTGCATCTGTGTTTACAATGGAAACCTGGAGAATTGCGTGACTCAGCCTTGTCCGGACGACATTCATTGCACAGTTAACAACATTGAATATAGTAAGAAGATGTCCCATGATTAGGGGCTTCTGTTTCAAGAGGAGAGTTTCCCCCTCCCCCAACCCCTCCCCCACGTCTCCCAAAGGACTTCGAAATGAATTGATTATTCTACGGAGCAAACATTAATTTTTCCAAAAGAAAAGAAAATGGAAGGGGATTACGGTAAAATTCAATTCTGGTCAGTCGATTGCATTGTAAAAGAGACTGTGGAAATGATTGGAAAATGTTGATCATAATTGTAACCGATAAGTATTAGTTCATACTGTGAGGTTTGGAAATAATCAAAATGATAAGAAAGTGGCACAGTTTGGCTCAAAAAATCACAAGCATAAAATTATGTGGCATGAAAGTATGCTACACGATCTTTAGCTGTTACTTGTCACATTTTACAAAGAGGAATTCAAAGAACCATCTTTCCAGGGGACACCGTTTCTATGATATTCTCTTCCAAATTTATATATCAGGAATATAATATAGTGAATGGCTTCATATCCAACTCAGCTTTGTTTACATGACATCAATTTTGTTCCTTGTGGTCTAGAAAATAAATTGAATTACAGGTGAACGTACATTTAAATAATACAGCAATTCTAATTCTTCTTTTAGTTGTACAACTGAAGACAGCTAGAAAACACAAAACACATCTAGAACTATAATTAGCATGCCCCTCCCCACCCCCCCCCCCCCCCCCGCCTCCCTCCTTACTACATTTGCAATACAGGCATAACCCTAAATCAAAGCAAAATTGAGTTAGTTTATGTTTGTAAAAAGTGTTCAAGTTATTTGACAATTTGATACCTAAAGTTAGATTTCACAAGGAGCTGAATTTGATCAGGTAATGTATTATGGATCTAGTATATCGTTTGTTGTTGTTGCTGTTGTTGGTTAATGATTGTTTTTGTTCTTTTTTCCAATCAGAACATGATGAGCTCTTTTCTCACCCGGCGTATGGATATTGCATATGTAGGTCTGGTAACGTGCTGTGTACAAGAAGACACGAGTCGGGTTCAGAAAAAGAGTCACAGCTAGGTAAAGATGAATTTAAAAAAAAAAAATCAAAATCTTCCGACCACATCCTAATAATACCAACATTTTTTGTTTCATAAAGGGGGTTATACTCACACACCCCTACTTGTATAGAGTGGGTGGTCACACCCACACACCCTATATAGAGTGGGTCACCCCCACACACCCTACTTTCATAGAGTGGGTCACACCCACACACCCCTACTTTCATAGAGTGGGTCACACCCACACACCCCTTCTTTCATATAGGAGGTCACACCCACACACCCCTATTTTCATAGAGGGGGTCACACCCACATACCCCTACTTTCATAGAGTGGGTCACACCCACACACCCCTACTTTCATAAAAGGGGTCTCACTCACACACCCCTACTTTCATAACAGGGGTCACACCCACACACCATACTTTTATAGAGGGGTTCTCACCCACATATCCTTACTGTCATAGAGGGGGTCACACCCACACACCCCTACTTTCATAAGGAGGTCTCGTCCACACACCCCTACTCTCATAAGGGGGTCACACTCACACACCCCTACTTTCATAACAGGGGTCACACCCACACACCATACTTTTATAGAGGGGTTCTCACCCACACATCCTTACTGTCATAGAGGGGGTCACACCCACACACCCCTACTTTCATAAGGGGGTCTCGTCCACACACCCCTACTTTCATGAAGGGGGTCACACCCACAAACCCTTACCCCTCTAGTGGCGTCCCTGTATATGCATGTATCTGACAATCAACAATTAGATTTTAATTGTTTCTCTCACTTTCTGCTTCGACTCCATGTTATATCTAGTATTTCCAAGCATCAGCGTTGCCTATGACAGTCAGCTTCAGTACCACCTGAACTCACAGCTGGAGGAATCGTTTGGAGATGGATCTATCCTCAGGGGTCTACAGAGCATCTTAGATAATCAGGAATCGGTATACACAACCAAATTTTAGTTTTTACTTTATCTGAAATGAAATGGGGAATATAGAAACATTAGGGTTACAGATATACTTTTCTTGTATTGTCACTTGATCACTCTCCACTCTGTGTCCATTAATTTCCCTTCCCTACTCCGCCCTCTTCTCCCCCCCTCTCTCTCCCTCTCTCTCTCTCTCTCTCTCTCTCTCACTTACTCATCCTCCTGTTATTGGTTATCTCCCTCTCTCTCTCACACTCCATCGCTCTCTATTTATCCCTCTTCTCCCTCTCTGATCCTGTCTACAATCTTCCCTTAAACATACACCATTGATACCTTTGTTTAATGTTTGAATTTACGTTTAATCTAATTCAAAAGAAACTATTTACTATTTGTATTGCAAATATTGTGGTTTTAGTGAGTAAGTGTGATTCATTTGTTTGTATCTGTATCCTAGGTCCCCTGCCGATTGCAGCTCTTGGAGAATACAGACAACACTCTTCTAATATCCGTGTACTACACGGTTAATATGGTAAGATAGATTCCATAATTGCATTTTCTTTTTACCTGATTACTATTTAATGACAACGACATTCCCAAGATTCTTTGGTCTTCACACTCTGAGGAAGAAAGAAAATCGATGTGCCCCTTAATCGACTACATATAAGACGAATTTGGACTTTTGGATGCCATTAAGAGTCGCGTGGTGACCCCTTTTACAACTAATATAATATTTGTCAAAGTGAGGAGTGCAGCTATTGTGTCGGTTACAGTTGAAAAAAACTTATTTGCTTTCTCAATTCAATATTTTTTAGATAAGATTGACGAGCATAGATACATTGGGGGCTGCAGATCACTGAGAATTTTGCGATAATCAATATTTGAGCAATTAACCGTCACGTCATATTCAGGCAAGGAGACAGCCTTTAAAAATAACTCAAATTACATTGTCACCGATCATAAAAGTTTTAAAAGATTCGTGTGCTATCTTCCCAAAAAGTCGCAAAATTCAGAAACTAGAACAATTCTTTTCGGGCAAGACTTACGTCTTTTCCTAAGTGAAAAGGTCTCAAACATTGTGTCATAAAACTGAATTCGATTATGTTGCTCGGGCAGAAATGCTTCTCAATTATTGATATTTTGCGATATATGCGTCAGACAAAAATAATATTTATATATATATATATATTAATGTTTTTCTTTGGATCATTGCGTTTTCTTTTTCTCTTCAGAACGCGTGCTTCAACCAGATGTACAGATTATCCAACATGATCAACATGAAGCACCCCGCGATACATTTGAACCCCACCCTCAGCATCCTGAAGATCGCCACGGTGGAGCAGGGAGCGCATCATCAAAAGCAACAAAACGGAAGAGCAACATCGACTCTTAAAACATCATGTTCACTCGCGTCGTATTTTCTCGTGGCAATTTTGAGCTCGAGATTTTCACTGTGCGGCAGGACCCTTTGATACACGTGAAGTAAACAAACAAAAAATCTCCTTCAGTTGATCTGGACAGATGTCCCACTGCAGAGTAAGGAGCGCATCACCCAAAGTAGCGAAAAGACAAGTGCCATCCACTCTCCAAACATCATATTCATCTGACATCATCATCTTCATTACCATCATGTGACGGCCAAAGCCGAGGTGGAGTACATTCCACTATTAACGTTACTTGGTTTGTTCAATCATGACTTTAGGAAAGTCTTCTCTAATTTAAGAATACAGATTGCGAGTAATTGTTTTGGGCGTCGGCCCCTTTTTTGGCAGGGCAGCCTCAAATTCACTCATGATATATTTCCTCATAGCAATTATGAGCGTGAACATTTCGTTGTGTGGTAGGTCTGTTGGATGCATAAAATATGAGAAAATGATTCATTTCTTTCAGTCGATCTGAAGAGAGGTGTAAACTGTAGAGCACAAGAAGCAGCAAAGAGAACAACATCATCCAATCGTCACACATCTTTTATTTCCTCGTAGCAGTTTTAGCGCCATCTTTTCACTGTGTTGGAAACGAAAAAAACATTTATTTTCTGTCGATCTGGACAGAGAAATAAACTTGTTGAGCAACAAAAAGGACAAGCATCATACATCAGTGCCTATATAGTACGAAGTAGCGTCTCTAAGCACGTTACAGAATTACCCCGGTCATTCGATTCATCCACACACAATGTGTTCACCATCACCACTCCCTGGGGAGCATTCCTACCATACGTCCACCGTGAGGGCATATGGCAATTACTAACACAAAGGCTTTCGTCATCCCGACCAGGTCTCCATTTCTCACCTGGGTATGGAATGGCTAAAATAGAATAATGCCTTTCCAAATATACCAAAGGACACCATATTGAACCCGCGACCTATGCATTTCAAAATTAATGAAGTGCTCAAACCACCTCTGCATCAGTTCTATCCACTGTGGATCATGGCGGTGTGCTTCATCAGAAGCAAAAGAGACGATTATCTTTGACTTTACATGCCTCTGATGACACATGTCCTTGTCGCAGTGGTGAGCTCGATCTTCGCTTTATATTTACTATCTATTTCAATGCGTGTGGATTAAAACTGGATTAATCATAATGTTTGTATTCGTAAAGGGGCAAAGAAATGGTTCAAGTCTATGAATCAATCTAACTATTGCGTTTGTCATCTTTGCTGAAGTCAACTATACGAAGCCATGATTTGAGAAGGATAAGGGATCGGGCTTTGCTGGCAAATATGATCTTCTTTGGTTATCGAAAATTGAAGCATGTGTACTAGAAGCAGCAGTTGATATACCTCAGGTAAAAATAAAAGAGGTGAGACTATTTCAGAGTGAAGTACAGAGGGGCAGATCAAAGTATTTGAGAAAGATTGAAAACGGGGATAAACGTGACGTATAATAGGGAGAGATGAGAGAGAATGTGCGAGAAAAAAAACTTTATTGAAATGTAACAAAGAGTGAAAGAGAGGAGAAAAGAGATTGAAGAAAAAATGTTAGAGAGTTAGATGGAGGAAGAGGAATGGTATAGTAACATGCAGAAAGTTATATTTGTATGTATATAAATATATTTTTTGTTTAAAGGGGGGAAAGGAGAGTGAGAAAATTGTGGAATCATGATATAAAATGCAATCAGGTGATACAGTTAAAACTCAGGAACGCAAGCACAAAGAGACGTCACGTGACCAAAGTGCAAGTAAACTGCAAGAAAAGTTGAAATGCCTAATTAAGTTGCCTTCACATTATCTGACAGCGACAAATATGACAAAACGTATATTTTGTAATTGTTTTAAGTTGAATTTCAAAGTGCTTTGAATTACCAAAGATAATCATGATTTTATTTGTTAAAGTTATTTTTTGTGTTAACCGTGGTAAATGAAGTATATCTTATTGTATTAATTATTATGTATATAACAACTCTTTATGTCGTCATTACTCTCGAGTCTTATAACGTATATCGTATATTTTATTGTGTAGCCCTTTCTCGTGAAGAAAATCTCTATATTTTTTTAATGTGTAACGTGTAATCTGTATACTGCATGTGACTCATTTTGTAGCGTACTTTAAGAATGTAAGAATACGATGTTTGTGTGAATTTTATATGTAATGCATGTGTAAAATTATGCCAGATTTAAACAGTTTACTTAATTTTCCAAAAAGATATATCAAGATGCCAAGCTTTAATCTTTAAAAGACAGCCGGTAGCCTTTTTTTAAGAGCTAAAAAAAAATCAGTATAGGTCCGTAATCTTTACTTCGCAAAGACAACGATATAATAAGGGCACAACTTGACGGATCTTCTCATAATAAACATCGTTATGGTTCTGTGAAAGACAAGCCACGTTTGTAATGTACAAAACAACCAATTCAAAAGAAAGAAGGTCTTCTGAATTAAGAAGATCTTCTAATGGTGAAAACAGGATTTAGAAATCCAAATCCAATAAAAAAACGAATATCTATGAAAGAGTTGTGGGACAAATATTATTACAGTACGTTTTTCATATATTTAATTTTCTTTGTAATATTTCTTGTTAAAATAAATTGATCGATTGGTTGGTTTTATTCACCAAGCCCTCCAACATACAACAATATAAAAGTATAACAGATCGAAATTAAATCAGCTTGAACAGGATAACCCACGAAAGCTCGAGATTTCATTTCAAGTGGGGTTCCCGACAAACATTTACAAAATTAATAAGCCAAAATCGTATTATTTACAGACAGATAAGAAACTAATTATTTAAGATAATAATGATGACAATAAACAGCAACAATAGAATAATAATGATAGAAATGATAATAAGTACAAGAAGAATAAGAAGATAGAGAAAAAGAAGAAGAAAAGGAAGAAGGAGAAAAATAAAAAGAAGAAAGAGACGAAGAAAAGAAGAGGAGGAGGAGGAGGAGAAGGCGGAAGAAGAGGAAAATAATGGTGAATATGTTGAATTTCTAAAACGTACACAAACATAAGTATATACCAAATTAAAAATTATGTACCTGACAGAGAAAGACGTTCTGAATTCAGGCTATTACAATCATATAACATGTCATTCGCTTCTCTCCTCTGACTCTCAAGTGATAGGTATTCTTTTAATTAAAATGATCAAAGTTGTCTATTTACTTATAAGCATTATAAATGTGGTCGCATAAACCGACGACGTCCAAGTAAAGCATTTACAGAAAAGTGAGAATCCAAAGAGCCAGTTCTACACAAAGCTCGAGTTGCCATTTTCATGTAAAATTATATTGGAATAAAATTTGTTACTTAACCAAATACAGCCATGATTCATAATCTATTATGTTTCTATATTGTAAAGTCAAAATATAACAGGGTAGGATACATATTCAAGGAAAATAAAAGAGGGAGAGAGAGAGGGGTGATATAAATGAATGAGAGACCTCGGAGACGAAGAAAGAGAATGTTCGGGAAGACATTTAAGAATTCGAGAGAGAAGAAGAAAAAAGGTACAGAAGTAAGAATAAGAAGAATATGAAATAGGAGATGAACAATGAGAAGAACTAGTGATAGCAATGAAGAAGGAGAAAGAGAAATAGCTAATAGTGGGTCCTAAATCTTTATATTCATTTAGAGCGAAGAGAGGGAGGGAGGGGAGAGAGAGAGAGAGATAGACAGAGAGAGAGAGATAGAGAGAGAGAGAGAGAGAGAGAGAGAGAGAGAGGGGGAGAGAGAGAGAGAGAGAGAGAGAGAGAGAGAGAGAGAGAGAGAGAGAGAGAGAGAGAGAGAGAGAGAGAGAGAGAGAGAGAGATGGGGGAGGGGGGAGGGGGAGGGAGGGGAGTAAGACGGAAATAAAATTCTCGGCTCCCATTTATTTGAAAGTTGTAATGTTTTTACCGAAAGATGGCGGGTGTACAACGGGAGACAAAACAAAGCAAAATAAGGAAGGCAAGTGGAAGGCTTGCCTTGGATTGTTCAATTAAGATGTAGGGGGTAAGCACTAAAACGTTAACACCCTATTCTCATATTTTGGTCTACAAACAACTTATTAATCAATAAATTTATTTTAATAGTACTGCTTAATATAAGATTTTTGTAAATTTATCACGGAAAAACCTCTTGTTACAGATTAAAATACATATTTATAAATTGATAGTCCCTCAGGCAATAGACGCAACCATGCATATGCATATGACGTAATTGATAAACATTTCATTATCAGCTGGCTGACAAAATGGCGATGCATGTGGCCAGACGTGTGACGACGATCACTTGGAATTGTAACGTGATTTAGCCCCAATCAGTCTGATTTTTCCACCAAATACGAATGATTTTCCAAGGAGTTTATATTTAACTGCGGAATTATGCAGTCAGTTTTGGTTTATGGGCGCCAGATCGCCCGTGCTGTGATGGGATATGTACCGTACGATGCGAGTAGGAGCATCGAGTACAGCAGGGATGGGAGACGAATGCGCTTGGTTACGGCATCATGCGGGTTCTCTAAGGACGATGCCGCTGCAGATGCAAACAGCCGCGTCTTCAAGCAAGGCATGTTCGGGGATGATGCATGTTTTGTAGCCAAGTACAAAGGCTTTGATGTCCTCGGTAAGTTGGTTTGGGCAGGGCATGTGAGTTAAAAAGTCTCACCTCCCTGGTTTGGGCAATGATGGAATAAGTTTCATTCAAAATCAAAGTCATATTCTAGATTGTAACTCCAGATATGGAGTCAGGCTAACTCGGACCAGGGGACAACTCGGCCCAGGTACAAAAACGGTCAGTTTTTGCATGTTTAGGTTTAGGGTGAGGTTACGGGTTAGGGTTAGGGTTAGGGTTAGGGTTAGGGTTAGGGTTAGAGTTAGGGTAAAATGACAAAAAAAATGACTGTTTTTGCAGCTGGGCCGAGTTGTCCCCTGGTCCGAGTTAGTCCGGATCCGAGATTGATCTACTCCACAAAAACATAGGGCTACTGAAAATCAATTGTTCAAATAATGGTCATGATTTAAAAGTTGTTATGTTCCTTACCTGATTTGTGTGTTTCATGTGTTTATGTTGATATTGAGTGAAGGACTAAAGGTGCGATTTACATCACAAAATTGCTGACCTTTCACGAGAGTTTGCAAGGTTGGTTCTGTCTGAAAGACTGTTTTTGAGTTGCCAATTTGATACTAATAGCGATTAGTGTGAAAAGGCTCCCGCTCAAGGAGTTCGCTATTATTAGTTCAGCAAACTCTGTGCTTGGGTTTGCGTACATGTACATGTATACTGAACTAATCACTATTAAAGTATTACAGAAATAAGTATCAAATTCAGACTAATTAATCCAATCGAGACAGACAACATCTTTTCCTCATTTGAATATAAATTATGAGTCGACACTGGAAATACAAAAATAAACTACCCGGTAAATACAATAAACACAATACAACATAATATCATCTTTCATTTTTTAAAGAATTACATGTACACATGTATGCTGCAATATGAATAGAATTCTTATTGAAAATTATTGATCTTATGATCAGTAAAATAATCTGAATGTTTTACAATTACATGTACTGTGTACACGTGCATGTGTATGCACTTGTATGAGAAATTTTAAAAAAGAAAACATTTTCATCATACATTTCTGATGAAATGAAAGTCATTTTAAACATATAAGAAAGATAAGGAAAGACTACATGTAGGTTTTTTTCTCACTAGTCAGAATAAAAGTCACCTTTTGGGTCCTCTGATAGCTTTCAATGTTGAATTTATAACTTGTTCAAAGGAAATTGACTATTTTTGTTCTTTGCATCTCTGGATACACCAAGTACATACATTGTGTACATGTACAGTGTACATGTACATTGTCAATGTAGAGCATGATGATAACTTTATGACCTTGACCAACATTAACTTCTGTACTGTACATACACTGTACATGTACAAATATATTTACTATTACATGCACAAGAAAGCTCTCTCATGGAGACCAGCAAAGCTATTTTTGTTCAGTTTCTTTTATTCACAATTGATTTTTTGTCTTGCCCTGTTCAGTAACTCACCGGTACACACCAATAATCAATACTTCCCTTGGCCCACTCAGGGCTACTGTCTCATCTGATCTCTAATTTCATCTTATTATTGTCCTCAAACTTCAAAGCCTCCACACGAGGGCAGGCTTTATTCTTTTCAAGGTGACTTTCATAGTGCCTGTACAGTCTTACACTGTTTCTCTCCCCTGTGGGTATACACACCATTGACCTTTTTGTGCAGTGAGTAAAAATGCGTCAGGGAGCAATTGTTGTGACGGTCGCACTAAAGTGTGGCTATTAAAGGTGTACAGTACAACTGTTCATGTACGTGTAGGCCTATTAGTACCTGTGTGGACTTCAAATGATAATTCACATTACGTTCACTGAGATTTGTAATGCATACCGGTACATGCATGCACGTACAGGTACATGACAAAATGATTTCCAGTCTAATTGGGTCACAGTGCTCTACTATTTTATACCCATCAAATATTGATGGACAGTGTGAATTGAAATCCAATGTACATGTACTGTACATGTTAAATAATAAATTCATGATGACAGAAAATGAAATCATTCAAAATATAACTTTGTTTACAAATGTACACTGTATAGTACCAGTAGTTTATGCATGTAGAATGTACCCTGTAAATGGAAATGTACATGTAAACTCTTACGTTTTTAAAAAACAAAGGGTTGATAAACAATACCGGTAGACATTTCATAATGTTTTGAGAGTTGTGCCTGCTTGTACAATGTACAAACTGTAACTGGGAAGTATCTTATGCTGAGGGGTAGGCCTTCTGAGTGAAAACAATTTTTTATTTTTTTATTTTTTATAAATCTTCCTTAAAGGGATTGTTTAACAATGTTAAATCTGAGATACACGGCCCTTCGCATTATCAGTGTCTGTGATATGGTGTAATATTGAAGCCCTAAAAAAATTGCGCTTCAAAATGATCAAGAAGTGCCTCAAAAAAGTAAAAATCTTTGAGTGACCGGTTTTACCATACTCTTTTCCCCCAATAGACTGTAGTGTTATGAAAACCGTCAGGCGAACGGTTTTCAAAATTTGTAATTCCAATCATAAATATCTTGATCTTGATGATCAGACAAGCGATCGGCTTGTAAAAGTTATGGGGTTCCTGACTGACCTACATGTAAAGGTTTATAATTATCATTGCATCATGAGCTAAATCCAGAATTTTGTTTCAGAATCTGAGACAAAGTTACCGGATCCCTTTAAGAGTACGGTTTTTTGAAAAATGCCCCTAATGAAGATTGTTGCTGGGATGCAGGCCTCCACATGTCACTGAAAGATACAATGTACATGTACAGTATGTAATAATGACAAAGCTTTTCTAATAACGAAGAGAAAAAAGACTCGCTGATCAGTTTCAGCAAATACTGCACATGTAATGTAGATATCACATCCTGGTCAGATGCATCAGCGTCAGGACTACACTGCCATTTAACAAAAGCTTGGCCAAACAAGATTTATCTACAAATTTTGTTTATTAACAAAATAAAGTTTATAATGCAAACACAGTGCCAGGAAATATGCTGCATTGATATGTGACATGCAATGGCAAGTGATGGAGCAGTAGATTTGCAAAGACCCCATAGCGTTTTCAGTTTATATGTATATTTTTTTTCTGTCTCTCATAGACTGAAGTTGTCTCTTTATTATCTCTTTCATTCCTTCATTGGGGATTTTTACCTCAGAAGAGAAATGCATGATACCTGAATAATAATGGTGATGATGATGGTGAATTGGTGATGAATAATGATTTGATGATGATGATTGATGATGATGACGACGATGATGATGATGATAGTGATGATAGTGATGAAGAAGAAGAAGAGGGAGAAAAAGAAGATGAAAAAGAAAAATATGATGAAAAATAAAAATAAAATGATAAAGAAGAAGATGGTGGTGAATGGTGATGAATTAGTTAATGGAAGCACAAGCAGAAGAAGAAGATGATGATTGTGATGAAGATGATGATGGTGATAAAGAAATGATGTTCAGATGATAATGAGGGTGATGCAATAGATAAACTGTAACCATATTTTATCTCAATGTTCATCTCTACAGGTGTTGCTGATGGGGTCGGAGGATGGAGGGACTACGGCATCGACCCGTCTCAGTTCCCATGCCAGCTGATGAAGATGTGCAAACGGATGGTCAAGGAGGGTCACTTTGATCCACGCTCTCCAGTAGCCATCATCGCCACAAGCTACCAGGAGCTCCTAGAGCACAAGGCACCTCTCATGGGTGCGTATTTGTTTTTGCCTTGCTCAACCCAGGAGTAGGGGGGGGGGGTAGGGTCTTATACAGTACATGTACTGTACACTGTTTGTGCAGGTACTGTACATAACTTAAAGCTTATCTGCACTTGTGTACGAGAGGGATTAGAGTCACTACACAGGTGGTTATCTCATCAACTCAGCTCTCAATTAACACAAGAAAAAGAGGATCATGGGGGACCAATGGTCACCGATTATGCATTGTTTGTTAGGGTGCAAGTAGCTATAAGTAGTGCAGTGGGGCTTTCACAAGCCTACCGGTAGCTAGAATCTCAGGGATGTTGATAATAAGCTCGGTGCCAAACTTGTGAAAAAGTTTGTGCATTATAATTAGGCTCCAGAATGTTGTATTTGTTGTGATTGGATTAGGACAAATAATTTTGGGGACATTTTGACCCAACTTAAGGGGAAAAGGGGGATCTCATTTTGAAATAAAATTCTCTCAAAGACTCATAAAGAATACATTGTAACTTTGCTCAATTATTTTGTTGTACCCCTGTTTTTTCAAAGTCCTGTTTTTGCTGTCTGTGGCATTCCATTAATTGCAAGAATGATCCTTTCCATCTCTATCAATGACTTTTCCTTCAAATGCTGTCTGTAATAGGAAGTGGCTAGATGTGACACACAGGGACATGATACATGCAAAACATAAACATGACATCATTGTGGGAAGGGGAGGGAGCTGGGAGAGGGATGGCCTCTGGTGTATTACGAGGAAACATGGTGACTGAGTCATGAGACTAGAAGGGGAAAGGAAATGCACTTTAACTCCCAAGAATATTTGTGGTACCGGTACTTGACGAGAGAATGGAATGAAGATAGATCTACAGTACTTATTGCATCTTAAAGATAAACTTGTCAAATACTGCAGGCCTCAATATGTCGTCTAATAGAAGTCCAATAGTCCATACAATGTATGATGTCATTTTTGCACCTAAAATGTATGAATTTCGTAAGTGTCGTCTCGCATTCGAATGACCCAGTCACACTGCCATACTGACACCCAACTGAACAATTAAAGTCAAAATCTTGGCTATTTTGGGGTAGTGTTTTTATTACTTTTTGGTGTATTGTCATTTTAGTGTGAGTCACTGTGGTGTAACTGGGGAATGTACATGTACATAAATCTTGCAAAGTTGCAATGTCCGATTGATAGACAACTGGCTGTAATGTACAATGTTGCAAGCTGCTGAAAGTGTCATCAAGGTTTCAAAGGCATGAAAGAAACTGTTCAAGCATTTACTGCTTTTTTATTTAACCTTGAGACTGACAGCGTCTCTGTCTTTCATGGAATTCAGTAAAAAAAGGCCTGTGTACACTAGCTCGAGATTGCCAAATATCCCGCTATTTGAACTATCCCGATCGCAAACCATCCAGCTAATTTGTGTCTTCATCAGCCCGAAGTTGCAATTAGCAGGATATTTGGTCGGGATTGTCATCCCAAGATATCTTGGGATAGTTTGCAAAATATCCCACTATTTAGCAAAATATCTCGATCTAATTTCTCGAGTTTCAAGTTTCGAGGTCGAAATCTCGAGCTGATGAAGACACGCCTAGTGTTGTCTTTATCCTTCATTCAGTATTCAGTAAGCTTTAATTCACACGCGACCTTCCATTTTTCTGCTGGTATTGTTGTGATCCACACAAAAATGCCTCCACTGGAAAAACTGGCCTTGCTTATGATACTTGATAGAGAGTATTGTGACATTCTACTCATCTAAAACCCTAATCAATGTAGTTTACGTTTACTAAAATTATGACTGGCCAAATGACAGTGTTTTAAAATGACACATTCCTTAATACTGGAATATGACTGAACTTGTTTACAGTTAAGTCTATCAGTCTTCAAGTCTGTCATCTTTTTTAGCAAAGAGTGCGCACCAGGGCGTGGAAATAACAAGAGGATTAGCTCGGGGAAATTGGAGGTTCCCATTTCAATTAAACCCTCGAGCTGTGGTGAAGAGTCTAAGATAAACAAAATTTTTAGTGAACTTTCACTTCGCGTTAAAGATTATTATGATCAAATACATTACGTGAAATACATTATTCTGAATTGATTGTTGTCTATGAGAATACTTGTTCATGATACCCTATAAAAAATGTTTAATCAATTTAAATTCAATTGAAGGAGCATGAAATACTGTACTTACATTGTATGTAATAACTTTATATCACACTGTCACCATTCCAACCAGGAAAAAGAATTAATAGTGAAATGTTTCCCAACAGCATTGAACTCAAAGGTCAAATTTGAAAAGTCACGTTCTTTGACAATCAAATGACAATTGCAATTTCTTATCAAAATTTAGAATTTTTATATTTTTCAAGCAAATTCTAGTTTCAACTCTCTCATATAACTATGAAATAAGAAATGAGATGAACTTTTAAAAAAAGGTCATCTACGGCATTAAAAACTAAAAGTAGAGTATTTTGCTCCCCCAAGGTTACTTGGTTAGATTATTCCCATTTTATCACAGTTGTTGATCAGATTTTGATGTGTTTTGTCAACAATGAGGATCCTTTTTTAGCAATGAAGAGCAAAGTTCAAATCACTGTGTTGTTGCAAATTATCTCTATCTCTGATTTTATTTGTAGGGCAGACAATTTGTTCCAATAGCCTATTTAACTCCTACCATAGTTCTGCTGCTTTTTGTTGTTGTTGTAGTTTTCTTTCTTTTCTTTTCTGTTTCTTTTTCTTTTTTGAGGGGGGGGGGGGGGAGGGTTGAAGAAGTTACATTTTTTACACTGTAGATTTGATATCAGCATCAAGTAAAGACTGGAAAACAAAATATATACATGTATGGAGAAAACATGCATATTTAGTTTCCCTCATTATTTTATCTTGAAGTTTATGTTAAAGGGACTATGACTATAAAAGTAGTATATTCCAGGTTTGTATTAGCATTGAGTTTTGGGGACTATCTTGACTCTTGATTTGTGGATACAGAATGTTACCGAAATGTTCGAATGTACATGTACTTGTACATGTACATGTACATGTATACGTTCAATGTATGTATTGCTCCTGACCACAATGCATCTCACATTATAGTCCATTGATTAAAACACAAAATATTTGAGTGTCCTAAACTAACTGTATGTTATGCTTGTGTTCATGGTCCCATCAGTATTCATAATTGTTGGAAATACGCATTATAGTCAATTCATTAAAAACATAAAAAATTTAGAGTCATTATTTAAACTTATGTCCTTTTAATGTTTATTTTTGTGTTGACGGTCCCTTCAGTATTCATTATTGTTGGAAATACACTAATGATGTACATGTTTTGTATTAATTGACCAACAGGGAGCAGTACAGCCTGCATAGTTATATTTGACAGCGATAACAAGACGGTAGCTTCAGCAAACCTGGGTGACTCTGGGTTCCTTATCATCAGAGCGGGCAGGGTGGTACACCGATCGGAGGAACAGCAGCATTATTTTAACACGCCGTTCCAACTTTCGATAGCACCCCCCGGCTTGAGAACAATATTAAGTGATAGGTAAGTAGTCAATAGACCAGCTCTCGGTAAGCACATGTCCCAAATGACCCAGAATTTCCACAGATCTTCAAAACATGAAGAGGTCCCACTTTGTACATTTTGAAATAATCACTCCTACAGTGATGGAGGTGCTACATAAATAGCCTTTGTTTCCGCTTTTCAAAGAATACTTCCACCTGTGTATTATGGAGTGCACTGCTTGTGCATAAATGAATAATGATTACACAACTTTCATGAGCACGTATCAAGTATTTTGCAATGACCTTTATCTACTCATGCAACCGTGAACTGGCTTATTGCCAGCTACATGTACACGTAGATGTAAATATAAAACAATCATCTTCATGTGCATGAAGGGTAATATTTCTTGTTGCTTATCTGTCCACTTTAAAAGGGGGAGGGGGGAATGCCACAATGCATATTGTTTGAGTATTATCACAATTCAAGTTTTTGGAAAAAAAAATGTTTTTATTTTAGCGGGAAAAAGGTGATGCATGATCACAGTGTTGTAGTCACCTTATTTTGCCGACACATAGGACAACATGCAAAATGGATTCCTGTGAACTTAATCTTTACAGTAAGACCTTTCAGGATTGGTGAAGATGGTGGGTTTTGAGTTTTTAGAAAAGCATTCCTAATATTGAATATTTGTTTGTGATGATTAAATTGGATGTACATTTAATAAGGTAGACCTGCATCTAGTGAGCTCTTTTTTTCCCTTAACTTTTTTTTTTACAGTCCTCATTCAGCATCCAGCTCACTCTTCTGTGTTAAAAAGGGCGATATCATCTTAGTAGCGACAGACGGTCTCTTTGACAACATGTCGGAGCATATGATCCTTGGGGAACTCTCCAAACTAAAGGTAGGTGGTGTATGTATGTGAATGTCCCAGAATAATCACAATTTCCTCCTATACTACCCATGACTTTGTCTCTTTTTGATGAAATTCACATTGCATTTCAGAGTTGTTCCTAAGTGTGGCAATTGATGGAAAAGATATACCGGTATATGTTATTCTGGGCCTGTGTTTGAAAATGTTGATCATTTATGAATTTTTGTGCCCTTGGAACATGTACATGTAGATGAAAAAAGAGATTTAAATTAAAAAAGTACATTACTGTTATTTAATATCTGAATCTCATTTGCAATCAAGGCATGGATATTGTTGAAGGTGAATTCATGAATAACCATTTGTGATACTTCCCTATTAAAATCAATTTGCGGCTGAGATTGAAAAGGAATTACTTTGGAAAAAGACCATGTCAGTAAATTGCTGCACAGAAATACATGTAGGTAATGTCGACATTATCTTTGCTGCTGAAAACGTAAGGATTAGAATCGAAAACAATCAAGACCTGTAATAGTACTTTTATAACTTGCGGAGAGAATTTTGATGACTTGAAGGTGCTACAAATAGACCATTTTCTTCATATAATCCAATTTAATGCACAAATCTTTGTTAAGTGCATCGTTACAAATAATTCCATTCACCTGTTACCAATAATTGTATATCAATAATCGGAATGCAAATTGCATTCATTAATTGTTGCTTGGTAGGACAAACATACATGTAATGGCTTGTCCCACCTAACAACTCGTATTCTGGCTATTAAATTACAATTATTCTTAACAGGTGAATGAAATAATTTGTAACGAGGCACTTAAGAAAGATTTATGCATTAAATTTGATTACATTAATTAATGGCCTATTCATCAAACAGGCACAAAAAAGGACTACCCGGTACTGGTACTGTACACAATATGGTTGAAGTATTATGTATTAAACAGATCATACATGTAAAGGTACAGGGTTTATATATTACAATGTAGCATGAGCTCATGCATGTTACCCTAATATAGGACGTTATCTCCCCTGCACGTTTGAATTTACGCTCCTCACAACCTTCCTTGTACATTACCTGTACCCAAAGAATGAATGAAATTTGCACTTTGGCTCGTCCTTTACCACTGCCAACCATCAAATGTTTACTGTGTTCTAGATAAAGGCAGTTTGATCTAGAGACAGATCAGCTTGTGTGCAATTATTGTCATTATCGGCAATAAAATACCTGGTTACTTGTACAGACTACATGTAGCTATTTTAAACAGTAAACCGGTACACATTTGCAGAACAGAATGATGTCTGATCCAAGTACATGAACATACAGGTGTACAATAATGATTTTATTCCCTTTGAACTTTATTCAACCAAAGAACTCCTTGATTCAACATTCCCCCTGTCCACACACAACATTTTCCGTGATTAGGCGTGATTAGCTATACCGTTTCGCGATAGTTTTACGATGAAATTGTGTGTGTGGACGCTCACTAACGATATGTCGTATAACGAAACTAGTCTAACGAAACGCAGGTTTGGGCATCGTTTCGAACTGAAACTCTATAAAGAATCACGCCTAATCACGCCTAATCACGGAAAATGTTGTGTGTGGACAGGGGGAGTGTAACTAGTGTAACTAACTGGGCGGGGCTTAACGTGACCTCGAGCGAAAGGAGACCAGACCTCTCATTTTCGCTTCCATTTCATGACCGCAGTAGCAAACTGCGCACCTATACGACATTTCGCTGTAGAGTTTCAGGATTACTTTCTTCTGTGTGTGGACATCCTGGAATTTACACGATGATTATTTATACGACGTTTCTTGTGTGTGGACACTCTGAAATTCATACGATGATTCTTTATACAACGTTTCGTTATAGAGTTTCGGGATAAATTGTTTTGTGTGTGGACACGCTGTATGTCTACACTGTATGAGCCTGGTGCATTTTAAAGATAAAGTACAACCTTTTAATAGCCCTTGCTATTGCATTATGAAAGAAATTGTCTCAAAGCAATTAGCAAAGGTTGATAATTTACATGTATGACATAGGAGTCAATGCATGACGTTTGGAATAGTCAAATTGATAAGAAGTTGACTCTGTCTTGCTTGAACTTTGAAGTCACATGCCCTGTACATAGAAATGTGTATATATGGGACTACACCAAAATGTGGCATGAAAGCTTGGTCCAAACATTCAGCTATTGCTTGTCATTTATATTTGAATATGAGGGCATCTTAAAGGTAAAGACCAGTTATGGTCATGCGATTGCATTGTGAAAGAAACGTTGTGGAATCGATCAGAAAAGGTTGATCATCTAGCATCTAGCATCTGCAAGGTTCTGGAATCATCAAAATGATAAGAAATTTGGCCCATTCTTCGTAAAGTTACAAGCACTAGACACAGAAAGATGTATATGGAACTACCCTATATCTCTCACAGACCATGAGAGAAACAAAATTACCAAATATATGAATTAGTAGGCGGTTTCCCGGCAAATTTTTTATCATCGTGTATTAGTCAAAACATATTCTTTCACATGATTGGTAATGAGAGCTTCCATTTCATTTTTTTTAAATTGGGGCGTTTCCAATACTGGTCTTTACCTTTAAGGGCTATTTTTTTTAAGGAAGTTTTATGATAGTATTCTTCCACATTTACAAAGAATGAAAAAAGCTCACAATTTATATTATACCTTTCCCAGAACTCCACCTCCTCTTAAATATTTGATAGGTATGCCTTTATCAATAAAGTAAACATATGCAGACCATGTTCCTAGCTACTCAGTAGCATGAGCCAGTGGGTTAGCTCATGATATCAGCTCCTGTTTAAATGTTTACCTCTAAGTTTCAAAGCAAACATGAACATAGGTCATGCTCTTTATATACATGTACAACTGTATGTTCATAATGAGAATGTAAGATGAGTCTCTTTCCAGTCATCCTGTTTTTGAACGTGGGCGTCGTTTCACTCCATCTTTGCGCCAATATGGAAAGGCACTGTGAATGATTCTGCGTCTCGCCGGAGATTAAAAGCTCAGGAATGTTGTCAGCTTACAGCTCTCGATGCTGAAATGAGATCATGTTCTGTTTGTGCTTTTAAATGAAATTTTATGAAAGAATTAGCAGAGTCATGAAGTTTGAAGAATAATGCACTTGAAGTACAGAATAATATCTCTCTGTAAGGTATTTAAATGGAAGATGTTAGACTTTGTACAGATATTGCTTTAGGGCACTGTATTGCTAGTGCTAGAATTCTTTGACACAAATATTGAAAAATATTGATTCAATTAGTTCTATTTTGAATGAAACGTGCCTGGAGTACATATTTGCTCTGGATCCACTCCTTGTATTTCCCCTCAGGACGCTTCCACATACAGTATACTGTCTGCATGTTGTAGCTGTCTGACTCGCTTTCTTTTCTGTTATTCTCATCTATAGGTCTTGTCTTTCTGTCATCATCTCTCTAGCCCTTTCTGTCCAAGTCTCCTTGTATCTTTTTTGTCTATTTCTCTCTCCTATTTACCCTTCATCAACCTCACTCATCTCTCGCTTGCACGCGCTCTCTCTCTCTCTCTCTCTCTCTCTTTCTCTTTCCTTTATCCACACTCTCTCCCTTTCTTACTTGCTCTCTGTCTGTCTGTGTATCTTTTCCTTTCTCACTCCCCACCCCCTTCCCCCTCCCCCTCTTCCCTTATCTCTTTCTTCCCCTCTCTCTCCCCCTATCCCCCTCTCTCTCTCTCTCTCTCTCTCTCTTCCCCCTCTCTCTCTCCTATTATCTCTCTCTCTCTCCCATTATCTCTCTCTTCAAGATTCTTCACTAGATGCATGTCATCTCAATCAAAGCATAGTTTCAAATTACAGTCAGACTCAAGGAGGGGTTGTGTAAATAGTCAGGCAATCAAGATATTGCGGTCTGATTTGTAGTTCCCTCTGATAAACCATGGAGATATCTCTTCTTATACATGTATCTCCATGGATAAACGATTCCCATTAAATCTCACCCAAAAGCTCATCTTTCAGTCAGCTCTTCAAATTCAAAGGATTTGAATCGAATTGCTTGACTGTAGGCGATGTTTCATTGAAGAACAAGTTTCCTAGGTATATGTACTCGGTGAAAGTTCCCTTGAGATGTCTTATTACTGACAATTGTAAACTCAAAAGCCCACACGAACATGTAATATATCAAACTGAAACCTTGGTGTTATTCAACATTTGGGGCAATGAAAACAAAATATACAGGAGCAGAGATTTCATTAAGCTCTTGAAAACTTGAAAACAGAGAAGGGAGTCTGCAGTTGATTGGAGGACTTGCAATCAATCTGGACCAATCAGATTTTTTTATGAGACAGGGGCCAGGTAAATTTATTTAAAAAGAGAAAAGATAAATATAATTTGAAGACAGCTCCATTTTACAGCAGCAAATTCTGAAACGGCTTTAGTGAAGAGAAAAGAATTGAGAATAATGGCCTTGAAATTTGAATGATCTGAATCTCGATCTCCACCAAATATGAAAGACATTATTAACAAATAGTTTTTAACATATAACATTTCTAAAAGAAAAGAAATACAATTGATTCCATTATTTTGATGTAAACAACTTTTAAAGGAAGGATTTGACAAAAAAGAAACGCATTGCCTTATCTACATGTAAGTACATGTACATGTAAGTTCTGTGATTAGACTGATATTGAGTAGATTACGATGAAGAAAAAGGAAAAGATATACCGTTTTTTTAAACTGTATTGTAATGATAGGAGTAAACAGGTTCGAAGAGGTAAATATTTGAAAGAGGGTTGTAACAGTAGGTACAAAAAAAGAAGCAACATTCTCTCTCATTTCCTCTTCTAATTAAGTTCCTTGATTAGGCCTTGAGATAGTACATTTACATGAAGGTATAGAATAGATGCAATGATGAAAAAGAACAAAAGTTTTTTTTTCACTGTAGTAAAATGGTAGGAGTAAACAACTTCAAAGGTGAAAAGGAAATTGAGTCAACCTTTGCAGTATAAAAACGAAGACCTCT